CCTCTTTCTCGTGCTCCTCTTCCAGCTGGGCCAGCCTCCTCCTCCTTGCTGGTCTGAGGCTTTCCCTGCTTAGGTCCAGCTGAGTATCCACCAGCAGGAAATATCTGGTCCATTTTAGAAGTGGAATTTCAGGGTGATGCCAAGACCCCAAGCTAGAGTCATTTGCCTCTCCCTCTGGGCTCGACATTTCCACCAGGAATAGCAGAGAGCTGGGAAAGTTTCCCTCACAGCACAGGAGACCTGGCTGGCATCAGAACCATGGGCAATTAAAAAAAAAAAGTTGTTGGGAACGCTGACTACCCTCAGGTTCTCAGCATAGAACGGAGCTTTCGGAGAGGGGGGCGGGTGTCTTCCAATCAAGAAAGCACTTACACCAGGAGCCCCATGCTTGGAGCCCGCAGGGGGTTCGAAGGCCTGCATAAACGATTCCTGCTCCTGGCAGCAGCCGCAGAGCTCCCCGCCCACAGGCCGTGCTGCTGAGGGCCAGCTTAAGGGTGTGGCTCTGGCTGTCCATGGAGTCAGGGGTCCAGAGGGTGAGGAAAGGGCAGGGTGGAGGCAGGAGGCTGTTAGGATGGGGAATCTGCAGAGGGATGATCGAGAACAGATGTGAGGGGTGGGAGGCTGAGGAGTGGAAGGAGGAAATGGTGGGGAGTGGAGGAAATGCAAAGCTTTGAGTAGAAATGCAAATTAAAAAGATCCAGCGGGGAGGGGTTGAGGGTGGGGTCACTGGTCAAGGCCATGCCTTGCATGTAGGGGTTCTGGGTTGGTTCCCTGGTACTGCCAGAGTTGGGGGTGGCAAGAGCCAGCACTGGAGTCTTCGGGACTCTGGAGACAGAAGCTTCTCCAAGGGTGGAGTGGAAACAAAGCCGACAGGGCCTAGGGTGGGTGAACTCCCAGGAGAGGAAGTGGCAGAGTCTACAGAGAATTGAAGGGAATCATGGGACTGGGGAGGGGGACGAGGGGTCGGTTAAGCCTCTTGTCTTGCACAGGCCCAACCCTGGTTTGGGCCACACCACTGGGTGTGGGTGTAGAGGCCTCTGGCACCACAGGGTCCGCCGTGCCCACTGCTGGGATCTGATGTTGGACCACTCTCCTGGCTAATCAGGAATCGGTGGCGGTGGACCTTGTGCCTTGTAAGCGCTGCTTATGGGGGACACCAAGAAAACCACAGGACCATGAGGCCCCCCCAGAATTCAGGTAGCTCGGGGGAGCTCTTCCCACTTTAAATCCCAGGACTCAGTGACGGCACGGTCTGTGGCATTCACCCGGCACCTCCGGCAAACCATCTTAGCCGGAAACAGCGCCTCGGTCAAGCCAAAAAAGTCTGATTAGCTGCAGAGACACGTGACAGCACCCCGGGAATATTAAATCATATTTACCAGGGGATGACGTGGGGACGATAATTACCGATGCTGAGCGCAATCAGCCATGGGGAACACCTCGGCTGCTCGAGTGGTGAGAAATGAGCCGGCCTGGGGCTCAGCGCAGAGGCCTCATCGCGGGGGCAGCGGAAGGGGCTGGACCGGCCTCGCCTCTGCTGATTCTGCTAATGGGATAAAGCAGCCTTGCAAATAAGCGCCGGGCCCCAGGAGGCCCGCGGTAGAGGGGATTTTAAAACCAGGCCAGGTCCTCCCGCTAAGTCCCCTTTCAGAGGTGTGAGGGCCGGGAGCTTTGAGATCCGTCATGCCACCGGCTCTCAGTTTGGAAGGCTGCTGCTGCCTGCCCCAAACACGGCAAGCATTGAGGAATAATTAATTTGTTTTTCCATTTTTTATTCATCAAAGACACACAACAGACAGCCAGCTGGGACAAGCGGGAGACAGAGCCGATGTCACCTTGTCCCAAACACGAAGAGACCTATTCGTTCTTTTGTCAGCCCAGCTGTATGATCCTGTGTAAATGTAGTTTGCCTTTTGAAAATGTTTGAAACGACATGAAGGCCAGGATCGGGGATGTGGCTCAGCGGTAGACAACTTGCGTTGCATGTGTGAGGCTCCAGGTTCCAACCCTAGCTCTGCCCCCAAACAAACGCGAAGGCCATTTTTGAACACCTCAGGGAGCCTGGAGGAATCTATCAGGACCTCAGGTCCAAGAAAAGTACTTATTTCTTACATATGCAGATGGCTGTCCAGAGGTGCAAGCAGCTGGCCCAAGGTCACACTGCGGGCCGGCAACAAAGACCAGGCTAGAAGCGGGGGAGCGGAGCCCTGAGCACTGTGGCTAAGAGCAGGTTGCAGATTCCGCCCGTGGGAATGTGACTCTGGACCTCAGACCATGACAGCTGTGGGCAGCCTGTTTCCTCAGCAGCACCACAGGGACCTCATGACAAACTGTGGCGAGGATTAAGTGGAACAATTGGAGCACTTTGCCTATAGTAGCTGCCCATTCTGCCAGCACCAGTTTGTGTATCTTGGGTCGGTTTGGGTCTGTGTAGGCACCACACCAACATGCTTGAAAAATAAGAGGCACAACATTCAACCTCCAGGTGCTGCCCTAAAAACGCCAACAGGAGTCAAATTCTGTCCCAGTGGAACCCTGGGCCCTGATCACAATGCTCTCACTTCTGGTGACATTCTCCACCAAGGGTGGCCAGAACCCAGCCAGATTCAGTGGAACTCAGAAATCTGCTCTTCTAAAAATCATCTGCACAGTCCAACATTCACTTTTTAATTTCTTCTTGTTCTATTTAGGGCCACACCTGGTGGTGCTGGGGGCTACTCCCAGCTCTGTGCTCAGGGGCCCATGTAGCACTGGGGGTTTAGCCCAGGCCTCTTGCATGCAAAGTCTGTGCTGAGTCCTTTGAGCTCCCTCCAGCCCCCAATCTCCCACTCTTCAGTGGTTTTATCAGACTCCTAGGACTGTGTGACCACGGCCACCATCTAACCGCAGAAGCTTGTCCTTGCTGCAGAGAAACCCCAACAGCCGCTGTTTGTCTATTCCCATCCCCCCCCCACCCCCCATACCTTCACCTGTCGCTGTGGAACTGCCTCCTCTGGATGGACTCGTGACACTGATGCCTGTAAGGCTGCTTGCACTTACTCCTGTCTGAGGCAAGCATGTCTCGAACCTCTCTTCGTGGCGATCAGCTGCTGGGGCAGTCTTGGTGAGGAGGCTCCGGGGAGGAAAACAACAGCACATTTCACACAAGGTCAAACTCGTGCTTATTATAAAAAGACCACAGTCGGGGCTGGAGCGATAGCACAGCAGGTAGGGCGTTTGCCTTGCAAGCGGCCGACCTGGATTCGATTCCCAGCATCCCATATGGTCCCCTGAACACCACCAGGGGTAATTCCTGAGCGCGTAACCCCTGTGCATTGCCAGGTATGACCCAAAAAGAAAAAAAAAAAGACCACAGTCACTCCCTTATCCTTGGAAGATACTCTGCAGGACCCTGAGCATCTGATACCATGGGCAGGACCAAACCGACCCCCCTGCCCGAGGCTCTCCTCTACACACATGGACCTACATCAAGTTTAACCATAAATGCAATGACAGTTCTTAAAGATGCACGCGACGTTCAGGCTGGAGCTGCGGGAGCGACAAACTGTGAAAGCCAGACCAGGGGTCCAGACGTGGGCGTGAGCCCCCAAAGACGTTCTGCGCACAGGAAGCAGTGCCGGCTGCCAGCACCAAGGGCTGCCTGCGCTCTCTCTGGTAGGGAGACAGCGGCACCCATGCGCAGCAGCCTGGCCACCCCGGGGGCTGGACAGGTTAATGGCAAGAGACTCACACAGAGGGATTTAGTCTCCACTCCAAGACTTTAATGTACATTATCCTCTAGGAAAAACATCTCCAAGGAAACAAGTGGATCTGAAGGTCTTTACCAGCAGGGATCCGCATTCAGAGGCTTGGCCGAGTGAAGCCCTGGGAGAGGTTGGAGGAGGGACGTAATCAGAGCACAAGAGCTTGAGGTCAGGGTGGCTGGACCCCTGTGCTGATGGACAGCCCCTCGGGCCTCCAGAAGAGCAGAGCCCCATCCCTCCGCGAGCTCCACCACAGGGCCAGGAAGCCCGACCCTGAGCAGGTCCCCTCAACTTCAACAGGGATAAAAAGATAGCCAGAGCAAGTCACTTTCTTTTGGGGGTGGGGTGGGGGGCTGGGCCACACCTGCCAGTGCCAGGGATCAAACCAGAGTCAGCAGCATGCAAGGCGAGTGCATTAACCCTGTATTCTCCATCTGGTCCCAAGAAGCTTTTTTATTCTCCCTTTTTGGGTTGAATTTCCAGATCACCAAAGTGTCTCTAGAGGGGACATGCCCACTAGGAGAGTTGTCAAGTCCTTCTGCGGGTCCGGAGCTTCCGAAAGGAAGAGACAGGCAGGGTTTGGGCAGCTGCACAACCATCACCCCCTCACCCCACCTTCTGCCTATGTGAAAAAGGCTCACGATGGAGAAAACGGCCAGAGGGATAGCACCCTGGGTATCCTGGGTGTTTGCCTTGCATCTGGCCAACCTGGGTTTGATCTCCAATAACCCATACGACCGGTCCCCTGAGTGCAGAGCCAGGGGTAAGCTCTGAGCACTACCGGTGTGGCCCCAAAACCAACCAAACTAACAAAAAGATGGAGAAAACAAAAACTGACCGTTTGTCAGGCTCAACCTAACCGTCATCTTGTGTGATGTCCTTCCCATCTGGGCCTCCTGGGAAAACACAGCCAAGCTGGCTGAGCTGGGTCCCCATCCAGGATCCCCTGATGCTCTAGCTTCCAAAACGACTCCTCAGGCCCCTGAGATGAGAAAGTCCAGGCTTTCTTGTTGCTTCTGGAAAAAAGCAACGAGTTCTCTTGGACTCGGGGCTGTCTCTCCCTCGGGAAACAGCAGGCGGCTGCTGAGGTGAGGTGGGGTCTCTCTCACCCAGGGGCTTCTGTGAGAGCATCAGGAATCCAGTCACAGTAGCACCAAGGCGAGGCTGCGGGAAGCCCACACGCGCCCGCAGGATGGGGACAGCTTCCGTGGCACTGAAGTTACTTATTTACAGAAGAAGAGGGAATCCTGGCTCGAGTGTTGTGGACCCAGGGAGGGGTGGCGGGGAGGCCAGGGGCCCCCCCACGCTAGCCGGTCGCCGCGCCCTCGGGGAGCTCCACCACCACCGGGGCGCAGTCCTCGGGCTCCGCCTCGAAGTCCCAGCGGAACTTCTTGGTGAGGTGCGCCTGGAACTTCTCCGCTTTCTGCCTCAGGGTGGCGTCCACGGCAGCGCTGCGGGCGGAGGAGAAGAAAACCTACAGAGAACAGAGGACAAGTCACTCCCGAGAACAGAGGGGCCCGAGAGCGCTGTGGAAATTTCCTCATGGCGCTCGGCTCTCTGGGGCGGGCGGATCAGCTGCTGCTGGCACCGGCCCAGGACACCTGCTGTGCTCCCCCCAAACCAAGAAATAAGGTCCAAACCCAGCTGAGAAGCTGCGGCCCGACTCCAATGGAAAATTACTACTGTCCTGGCAGAGAGACCCCACGGTGGTAAGGAAGGTGGGGTGGGGGGCAGACCCGGGGCCCCAGCTCCCGGGGGTCCGAGCAGGCACCAGGCTGCAGCTCAGGGGGAAGAGAGTAGCGGCAGCGGCTGGTCCTACGGCTGGGGGCTTCGAAGCCCCCGGTCCCCGCAGTCCCAGGCCCCCTGCCAAAGCCGAGGGGCGGAGCTGCTGCTCTGATCTGCAAGGGTTGCCGGCTGCTGGCCTGGGGCTGCGGTTCCACTGAAAAGTGGTCCCTGGCGCTTTGTCTTTTTAATTGTGGTAATATATACATAACATAAAATCTGCCACTTTACACATTAACATTAAAAATTAAACTGTGCACCACTTTTCACCATCTCAAGTCTACAGTTCCATGACGTCTAGACATCCCTGCTGCCGGCACCCACCCCCGGACCCATCTCCGAGCGTGAGCATCCCGCCCAGGGGACTCTCCCCGGACTTCCTGTGGCCTCCCCTGCTCCTGGCACCTGCCCTTCTGTCTGCCTCGGAGGGTCTGGGTACCTCACCGACGTGGCACCCCACAGTGTCTGCCCTTAGGCTGCTTCCTGTGCAGTGCCGGGGCTGGGCCCCAGGTCCTCCCAGAAGCCAGGGCTCCACCCGAGCCCCATCCCGGCTGTTGTCTGCCCTTCTGCGGACACTGGCTTCCTTCCCTCAGCCTAATGTCCTCACAGTGCTTCTGTGTTGGAGTGGGTGTCACGGCTGAACACAGCCTGTCCAGATCAACCCCACACTCTGTTCCCCATCCTTCGGCCAACCGGCAGTTTCAGGTTACTGCCTCATTCTCAGTGTCAGACATGGTGCTACGATCATGGGTTGTGATTCTCTTAGAGTTCCTCAACTCTTTGCATGGGTACAGACTTGGAAGCAGAATTCTTGGACCATCAGGTCATTCTGTTTAACGTTTTGAGGCTGGCCATACTACGTTCTGTCATCTCACAGTCCCAGCAACAACGAGGAATGTCTCCACATCCCCGCCAGCATCTGTTACTTTTTGGTTTAGGTTTGTAGGGATTGTTGTTGAGGGCCCAAGTTGTTCCTGGCTGGGTTCAGGAGCCACACGATGCCTGGAATTGAACCCCGGGCATCACCCATTACAGGAAAGTACTCAACCACTTGAGTCCCCTCCCCAGCCTCCAGCTGCTCTGTTTTTAAGCGAGCATCCTAGAGAGTCTAAGGTGGCATCGGGGTTTGGACTTGCGTTCCCTGATGACCAGCGTTGCTGGCTCCTGCCCTGACTTCACTGGCCATAGACAGATCTCCTCTGATGAAACATCCACCTTCAATCAAGTGATTTAAATTTTGTTAGTGTTAAATTCTCAGGGTTTTATACACACACACACACACACACACACACACACACACACAGAGCACTAGCACTGTTGTCCCACTGTTCATTGATTTGCTCAAGCGGGCACCAGTAACATCTCCATTGTGAGGTTTGCTGTTACTGTTTTTGGCATATTGAATACGCCACGGGGAGCTTGCCAGGCTCTGCCGTGCGGGCGAGATACTCTTGGTAGCTTGCTGGGCTTTCCGAGAGGGACGGAGGAATCGAACCCGGGTCAGCCACGTGCAAGGCAAACACCCTACCCACTGTACTATTGCTCCAGACCATATATATATATATATATATATTTTAGATTTGATATTCAATTTAGCTCCATTTCATGCAACAGAAACATGGGCAGAGGGTAGAGGCCAGTTATTTTCTTGGTGTCTAAAATCCCACTAGACAGGCTCCCAGCCCCTGGGAATGACAGCAAATCCATCATTCCTCCTAATACTGCATTCCAAAGAGCATCCCAACAGAACCTCACAAAGCCCCAGGACGGAAAAACTCTAGAATGTCTGTTTCATGAAAAGGAGGCTGATAGGAATTAAATGAGATTTTTTTAAAAATGCAGGAATCGGGCTGGAGAAATACCACAGTAGGTAAGGTGCTTGCCTTGCATGTGGCAGACCCGAGTTCGATCCCGGCAGCTCATATGGTCCAAGTCTGTCAGGAGTGACCGCTGAGTAAAGAGCCAGGAGTAAGCCTGAGCACTGCAAGGTGTGCCCCCCTCCCCCAAACAAATAATGCAGAAAGGAGCCTGGGTTTTCCCAGGCTACCCACTGACTACCCCTGGCCCCCTCACACGACAGCATAGCACTTGGTCCACCAGCAAAGGAACCTGTGCTCTGGTTGGCCAGCTGAAGGCGACAGGGGCACCTTCTGGGCCTAGCCCTGCATCCTGTTAGGAAGAGGAGTGAGCTCAGTTCCAGGGCTCAGAACCATTATGGTGGATGGCAGGGGAGGGAGGTGGTGGGGAGGGGAGGTTCACAAAATGTTGTTTGATTAACTTGAGAACCGGCTAAACACAGGCGCGGGAAGCACAGCCACAACAACTGTGGCAGATCAATAACACATCAGAGGGGCTGAGCGAGCGTGCTGGAGAGGGGGACGGGGAGCTGGAAGGCGTCTGCAGGAGTGAACAGAGCTGGCTGGGGAGCGCTGAATGCAGCTCGCAGCTGAGCTCCGTGGAGGGGCGGGAAAGGAACACAGAGATGCCACAGAAGCCTGAGTCCAGGCTGGTTTCAGAGCCGGGACTCAGGAGAGCCTGCCTGCTCCACTGGCACAAGCCTCCCTCCCCTTCCCTCCCACTCTCTCAGCTCCCCCTCCCCCTGCCCTCTCCCCCACTGCAGCATATGCTTTTATGCTTTCCCCTCTACTGAGATACTGAGAACACCCTTCCACCCCCTGCTTACTCCTTTTCCATCTGAACACTCCGGTCCAGCTCAAACATCCCCTTCTTAAACACTGTAGACTGAGGGCGGGTAAGGTTCTCCATGCAGAGCCCTGGTCTCTGATAACTGCATTTACTGCGAGCCATCCCGAGACATGAGGAGCGACACCACTGCACTGATGCCTGTTTGGTTTTTAAGCTTGGGGTCGGGGGTAGGTTAAGCTTGCAGCCGGCAGTACTAGGGGGCGATCCTGGTTCAGTGCTTGAGGTCTGTTCCCAATAGTGCTCGGCTGACCATGAGATGCTGGGCATTGAACCCTGGCCTCAAGCACACAATGCATGTGCTTGGCAGACTGACAAATAAGAAGTACCCACTAATAGACAAAAAATAGAGAAATATAGATGTTTTTCAGGCCGCACTATGTGGTGCTCAGGGATGACTCCTGGCAAGGACGCAGGACCATACGAGGTGTTGAGGACCAAACTGGGGGGTGGGTGCATGCAAGGCAAATGCCTTAGCCCAGGTACTCTCTCTCTCACCTTTCGTCAGATATTTAGGGAGACCATAGGTTGTTAAAAAAAATATTTATTTGGGGGGCTGGTGCAATACGTACAGCAGGGAGCGCACTTGCTTTGCATGTGGTTAACCCAGGTTCGCTCCCCAGCCCCACATACGGTCTCCTGAGCCCTGGAAGGAGTGATCCCTGAGCACAGAGCCGGGAGTAAGTCCCGAGCACCTCTGGGTGTGCCCTCCCTCCCAAAAGAAAAAAGAGCTCTGAATTCACTTTGGGAGTAACTGCCAAATAATTGCTCGATAATTCTGCCAGTGTGGGACAGAATGAGGGCGTCATCCTGGGGACAGGGTGGCCTATTTACCAGGCCCTGAGTGCCACCAATCCAGACGACACCTCCTTATGATACGACTTTATAAAAGCCCAAAACACACCCTGCAGTGCCCACATATCCCACACTGTGCTAACAATCTGTATCCTCAGAGCCCAGAGACGTCCCCCGCCAATGTGCGGGGCACAGTGCTGCGCCCCTGCTGGGCAGTGTCAGGCTCCCTGAGTGGATATGAATGAGACGCAGGAGTCGCTCTGCCACTGCACTGGCACGGGTGGCTGGCAGGCAGACTGGGACAGGCTGGGCTCCCTCTTCCATACACTCAACCGGCAGCGACGAAAACAGAAGGCCCTGTCTCAAAAATAAGGCTTCCTATTCGAAAACTCCTTTGTCCTTTCTAAAGAATTCATCAATTAGATCTTTACTACAGACCTGGAGGTAGGTGGACAGGAAATTACTATTCCCAACGTCAAGATGAGGATGACAGGTGTTGAGCAAGTGATAAATGTCAAGCTAGAGCTAGTCCACTGAGAAAGCGAAATCCCTTCTTACCAAGACCTTTGTCTTGCCAGATGTCAAGCACATCCTTGGTAGTTTCAGCATTAGCCTGTGGACAGCCAAGGGGCTAGAAGCCTCAATGCTTCAGGAAATGTCCCCTCTAGCTCCCCAGGGCACAGGAGAGAGCAGAGGTCCACTTTTTGGGGGATAGGAGAGTGAACTGAGTGGTTCCTTGGTGCAAAGCACATTCTACATGCTTGGATCCCCGGCTGACTTTCTGAAAAGACAACTCTATTGAGGCAGAATTCACAATTGATTAAATTTGCGTATTTTAAGCATTCAGTAAGCTTTTTTGTTTGCTGTGCTATCTCTCTGGCCCTTCCACAGGCTTTGACAAATGTATCCATGCATGCAACTGCTAAATGATAAAATCAAGAGAGACATGTTGCAATTTTTCCTCTTGGCATCCATGTCTGAGCTTGAAGGCTTGCAGAGAATTGTGTAACTGTCCCCATAATCAAGAATTCAACAGTTCCAGGAAGCCAGAAACACTCCCTGCAGACCTTAGTGGGAAAACCTTGGCCTCAGGCCCCGCTATCTACCGACCTACGCTTGTGCTGCGTTTATATACTTGCTATCTTTGAAAAGCCACAGTAAGGGATCAAGAGACAGTATGACAGATAGGGTGCATGCTTTGCACACAGCCGATCGGGTTCAATCTCCAGCACCACATATAGTCCCCAAGCAGGGCCAGGAATGATCCCTGAGCACAAACACAGGAGTAAGTGCTGAGCACAGCCTAGTGTGGCTCAAAAACCGATCCACCCCCGCACTCCAAATAAGAGCTCACAACGCAAAAAAGGAAATGTGTAGACAGTGCCTACTCTTCCAACTAAAATTTACTTTGATCCTCATTTTAAAAGTAGTTTTATATATACTCTTTACAGAACACAGCGACAATTTCGTTTTTTTATTTACTAAAGTAAAACAGGGCGGGAGAGACAGTACAATGGGTAGGGCACTTGCCTTGCGCATGGCTGACCTGGATTTGATCCCTGGCATCCCAGATTGGTTTGGTCCACTGAGCACCACCAGGAGTAATTCCTGAGTGCAGAGCCAGGAGTAACCCCTGAGCTTTGTTGGCTATGGCCCCAAAACGAAACAACCCCCCCCCAAAAAAACTGAAGTAAAATCAAGTATATACTTTTCAATTGTTGAGAAACAAGTCTTCTTAATATAGAATATTAATACGTTATCTTAAAAAACTTTTGAAATATGATAGCAACATTTCACAGGCAACTGCAATGATCTAGAACTAAAAGGGCATCTACTGGATATTTTTCTTTCAATATGGAAAAGGCATTGATACTTTCACAATTAAGTCGCATTTTCTAGAACTGTAAATTACTTTAATCAGAAACGTGAAAGCTTCCTTTTAAAGCCCATGCTAAACTGAGTTCAGTCAGGTCACCTTGAAAAATTAAAAATATCAAGGTAGAGAGCTGAGTCACTACCTTATCCTATTTTTTGGCTAGACCAAAAAGATAAAATTGCCTTTTTTTTTTCAATTCCCAGATGATCATGGGGCTTAGAGTAAAACTAGCCAGAGAGAGAACATTTTATTTCTACTTGCAGGAAAAGAAATTGGTGTTAAAAGTACGACTTTCACTTCACAATGATTAGCAGGATGGGGACAGGGCATTGAGTGTCCTGAGACCCACGGGAAGAGCCCGGAGGTTTCCGCCTGAGCTCAAACCACAGAGGGCGCCAGGCAGACTGTGCTGCAGCTCAAACCTCAGCCCTGCTGTCTACGGCACCTGCTGTCTGTCACCTCCCTGATACCGTGTCCACAGCTGTTAAACGGGCTGCATGGCTCACCTCCAGCATGCCAAGAGCTGCAGGAGGTGACACAGGAAGTGTGCACAAACGGGTGGCTGGAAGGACGAGTCAGCTGGGGGATTCGTCATAACAGCCAGAGACATGCCGGCCAGGGCCGGTGTTTTCCCTCAAGAGGTAAGGCTGGATCCTGGCTGGCATTTTAAACATTAGCTGAGACCGGAAGCTGGAAAGCACATGTACCTTACTGGGAATAAAAAGTACCTTAAAAGGGAAAAATAAGGCGATATGATGTGACTCTGCCTAAATGCTGGATGATCAGCAACAAAAATCCTTGTTTTGTACATAACTCACTTTCTAGCATACTATTAAATTCAGATTATCTTTTCATTGGTTTTAAACAAATCATGGTGACTCAACTTGTTAAGCAGAAGAAAAAAGAAACCTATTTTTGGAGCACAAACAATTTTTATTCAAGCTAAATCCCTGGGATTTGTAAAAACCAGGGGCAGCGATTCAAAAGGCCGCGCATGGCCACAGTCAGAAGCGTGAACACGGCTGTCTCGGGGGGCTCACACACGGCCCCAGCTCCCCTCGGCGGTCCGCTGCTGTTCCGGCTCCTGTGAGGAGGGCAGTCTGGCTCCCCGGGGAGAGCGGACCTGGGGTCTGCTATGGCAGCTCCCAGGGACTAATTCCTCTCAATGCACTGAGGAGGGAACTAGATTCACACCATCGGGCTGGTGCTGAAGTAACTCTTCACTTTAAAGAAAAGGTGCCGCAATTTTTCTCCACCATTAACTCTCCATCAATTCTCACGGCAAGTGCCCCACTCATGCAACAAGCCATTTCCGAGTCTCTCAACCCACAGTCTCATCCCAGCCTGAAGGAGCCAAGCCCTCTTGGGCCCTCACCTCCGAGGCCTGTGGGTAGGCTGCACGGCTTGGCCCATCAAAGTTCTAGAGCCACAGGGAAATAGGCTCCTCTGGAAACCGCAGGCTAGCACAAAGTGGGAGAAGCGCTCAGTCTCCACGTGGTGGTAAAAACAATCAGAGGAAGAAAATTTCAGCTTTGGGCAAAAGTGCACAGCTGCGTGGGAAGTCGGGCAAATAGTCCATAAACTCTAGCAAGGAGGGCCTGTGCAATGTCACAGTGACAAGTACCAAGCCTCGACAGTATGGAAGGCGAGAGCTGAGATGATGTCAGGGCGGTTCCTGAAAGGATCCTGTCAGTGACACACACACAGGGGCAGAGGGGAGCGGGCTTGGCGAGGAGGCATGGACACAGCCCACTAAGCTTCTATCAGGGCCAAAGTCGCAGAGCTTAGAAGAACCGACACTGAACTGTCCACTGACAAGGCTGCTGGGGGTGGCGGGGGATGTGCAGAGCGACAGTATAGCGGGAGGGCACTTGCCGTGCACAAGGTGACCAGGGTTCTGTTCCCCAAGCCCACCAGTAAGCCCTGAGCACCGCCTGGTGTGCACCCGCAAACAAAAGCAAATAAATAAACAAGCAAAAAAGCCCCAACACTGTCAAGAGAGAAGACTCCTGTCAGAACTGGCGCGGCCTGTGCGGGCCTCGCGAGGAGCCGGCTGCTGCTGGAGAGGAGGGGGCTGGACGGGAAGCAGCAGGGAGCAGCGGAGGACAGGCAGTGCATCCTCTGCTCGGGGTGTTGACTTTCTAGGAAACAGATCGCAGACAAAGAGGATGGGCGCCAGGTTTATAGGGCAGCAATGCATGTGCCAGAGCAGGGACAGGCTGCTGGGCGGACCTGGACAGTGTGAGTGGCTCCAGTGGACCGAAGGCCCGGGGGAGGGGAGCAGACGGGCTCCTCGGACACTCGGGGTGGATTGTTTACTTTCCCATCCAAACAGATGCTTGACTCATGGACTGTTCAGCTCATATCTCCGTTTCCAGTCCATGGGTCCCTGGAGAGCAGGTCAGCTAAATCAATGACCAGCTCTCCCAGGAGACGAGAGTAGTGCGGCTGAGTCACAAAACTGCGCTCTGAGTGCGGTGCTACAGAGAAAGAAAGGATGCCCGAAGATCGAGTCTACGGGGCGGGACAGGGCGGGACAACAGCACAGTGGGGAGGCCATTTGCCCGACCACTCGGGGTGCTAGCCCCGGCATCCCAGATGTCCCCCAGGAGTAATTCCCAAGTGCAGAGCCAGGAGTAACCCCTGAGTATTGCCAGGTGTGACCCAAAAACAAACAAAAAGACCATCCCCATATCTACCTCTATATTTTTAAGGCACATATCTTGAATTTTTCCAAATAATCACATGTTGATTTCTCAGTGAAAAATCTGAGAGAAATCTGCCAACCATCATCTTTACCCAGGGACCCAGCTGTCCCCTCTCTGCCATTCCACGGCGCTGCCAAGCAAGCCCCAGCACTCAGTGCCGGGGTGGGGGGGGGAGCAGCGTCACCGCGGCCCCAGCGGGGCAACCACCTTAGCCCACTCCGAGGGAGCAGGCCTGGAACGCTGGGGAGCTCTCCCCGGCAGCAGGCAGGGAGAAGACACACCTGTGTCGCACACAGCCAAACAATCAAAGGACACTCTCGTCCCTTTCCTGGTGTGGCACAAACGCGCTGCAGCTCAGCTCCATGGACTTATACGTGAGGTGGTGGAGGCAGCTACCCACTCACGAGGACACACACACAGTCCGTGGGGTTAGAGAAGTGTCCCGGGCCTGAGAAACGGGTCACCGACAGTGTCCACTAACAGCAGGTTCCTGGTGGAGGAATGTGCTGTGAACTCTGTACTGAGGGACAGAAACCGAGACGGGGCCCTGGCTGCCACCGAGAGCTGTGAGTTCCCATGGCGACTTCGCCGGGGTCTCAGCGGTCCAGTGTGACAGTGTGAACAATCCTTCCTGCCTTCTAGACCTCCGAGGAAAGGACTGGAGGAAATGCCCCCAGCGTGACGTGCATGGCACCTGCTGCCCTACAGGCACAGGGAACGTGTGCACCATTCCTTGCCCTGGTGGGCTCAGGAGACCTGGGGCAAGTCACTAAGGGTAGTGCAGGCCTAGGGGCCCCCACCCAGGGAGCAGAAGGCAACTCCTGGAGTGGCACAAACGGGGCTGCAGCTTAGCTCCAGAGCTTGTGGCTTCCGCCTCTTCCATCCTCAACTAAGTTACAAAGTTATAGTGACAGAGGCTGTCCTGAGAACATAAAGGAAGCTAATCTGTTTGCAAAGGGAGGAAATAACCCAGGATGAAGATTGTAAGTTGTTTGAAGCTTCTTCCCTAATTGCCACTCATAATGAAAATTTAATTGCCAAGTTAAAAGCAAATTTCACTTTTTCTGTCAGAGAAATCTGGACAGATACTGGCACATTTTGCTTGAACAGGAAATCAAAGTTACTTTAATGCTTAAACGAGATCTAAGAAGCTGCAGATGTTTCCCGGGGAATAAGAAGCTTCAGGACTGTCCTTCTGGAGCGCAGCAACTCACTGCTGCAGGGAGGAGAAACAGTGTTTCGAGCTGAGGAGCTCTGAGGAACTCCGAGGGCCAGAGGAGACTCAAGGCCACATACCCCATGCTCAGGGGCAAGGCAGTTCAACAACTCTCTCTGGGATCAAGGAAGATCATGTTGAGTAAGAGCAGGAAAGGGCCCAAGACTAGGAACTAAGGTTAAGGCTACTTGGGATAATGCGACAAGGTCACAGGCACCCCCCCCCCCGCCCCCCCACAGACCAAGTGCTCACCTGTAAGGTGCTGGTGAGGAAGTTGTCCTGCGAGACAATGTCCACGAAGAAGTCCGCAGGGATCTCTCCGAGCTGGTGGTACAGGATGGAGATAAGGTGCGTGTAGAGGTCGTGGTGCCTGGTCATGGCTTCTTCCGAGCGGCACAGGAGGTTCAGGAGTCGCTTCCAGTGCTCAAAAGCCTCGTACACATTCCCCAGCAGGAAGCAGACGAAGGCAAACTGGAGTTCCCCTGGACCGGGCGGAGAGGGGAGATGTGAGTGGCAGGGCGTGGGTGCTCCCAGCAGGTGCCTGGAGAGTCTGCTAGACTGCCATGCACTCGAGTCACAACAGCCCAAGCGGTCACATCGGCTTTGAAAATCTGACTGCTAGAGAAGAGCTACACCTCGGATGACCTGGCATCGTTTATTTTTTTCTTTTTTGCTTTCTGGGGGTCACACCCGGCGATGCACAGGGATTACTCCTGGCTCTGCACTCAGGAATTATCTCTGGCAGTGCTCAGGGGACCATATGGGTTGCTGGGAATCAAACCTGGGTCGGCCGCATGCAAGGCAAATGCCCTACCCACTGTGCTATAGCTCCAGGCCCTGGCCTGGCATCTTGATAGCTTATAAAATGTGTCTGTGGATAATATGATGCACGGGTCCCTAACCTAGCTGTCCAGCAGAACTACTGAGAGCTGGTTCTAAAGCAAGCTCCCCTCGCCTCACCTTGAGATCCTGGTGAGATGAGGGGCTCACGACTGTCACCCTATGACCCCAGGCCGATCTGACGCCAATGTCTGTGCTAGTGGCGCCAGGGAAAGGCAGCTCCACATGAGCGGTGCTCCCTCAGCTACGCTCCACAGCTGCTCAGGGATGGCTGAAGTTCACGGCAGGGATCCTGCCCACAGTCCCACAGACAGGCTCGGCCCACGGAAACAACGGAAAGGGACAATACTGGAAGGAGTCTCACTAGCAGGCGAGTACGGTTCTAGAGTTCCCCCTCAACGGGAACTCACAAGAGTTTGTGAGTACTTCTCCGGGCTTAACCTGCCGGCCAGAGGAGTTTCATCTGTTTTTATCACAGGATGCTGCGATTTTATCTCTAGAAGCAGCTTCATGGCAAAAAACCTGGGCCTGGGAACCAAACTTCCACAATTCAAATCTCAGCTGTACTCCCAGCTTCACAGCTGTGTGACCCGGGCAAGTTTCTTGACCTGTTCATCTCTCCCCTTCCTTAGCTGGGGATTGTAGTGACGATTACATGAACCAATACAATACAAGCAAGGCGTTTAGAACACAGCCCAGCACGGAATAACGCTCGAGACATACTCGTTCTCATCAGTACATTCCCATGGGATACCTTGTCTCAAACCAAAACACTGAGAGATCCAGCAGCCACGGTCCCTTGAAGAGATGGGGCGTGATCAGGGTGCTATCGCTGCACACTAAGCAATGTCTGTGGGCATACAAGGAGGCCTCTGGCTGCCAAGATATACTATTGCTGATCAGGGACAGACATTCCTCTGGCTTTAAACTTCACTATGGTCTCTGCAGTCTGTCTAACCTGGTCCATAAGGAGAACGGGTGCATTCAGCACCAAGCCTCTCCAAGTGCGTGGTGCCTGACACTTCCAAAGACCTGGGAAAAGTAGTTCCATGTCCTAGGTGTGTGGGATTAAGCCTGTGGAGATTATTTGATGTATACATTTTAAAATATAATTGATATTTTGTGTATGATAGAAATTAATGATTTGTTGCTTTAATTGGCTTCATCTGGTCAGCTTGTGACAATATGAGCTTATTCTTCAAGTTCAGGAAGTTTATTTAAATTTATACATTCCGGGCTGGAGAGATAGTACTGTGGGCTGGGTGTTTACCTTAAATGTGATGACACAGGTTCAACCCCAGGCATCCCATATGGTCCCCTGAGCATCTCCAGGAGTGATCCCTGAACATAGAGTCAGGAGTAAGTCCTTGGCACTGGCAGGTATTACCCCAGAACAAAAGAAAATAAATTCATGCATTTCTGATCTCTTTTAAAAATATATTATGAGACCAGAAACAATTTCTAAGAGCCATTCAAAGATGCATTCAAAGTTATTCCTCAACAGACCTTTCCACAGGATGACTTGGAGGAACTGACGTGTTTGAGTAGAGAATGGCCAGGAGTGGTAAGACAGTGGGGAGGGAGCTTGCCTTGCATGCAGGTGACACAGGTTCAATCCCTGGCACTGCATATTGGTCCCCAAGCCCGGCTAAATCAGTCCCTGAGCTCAGAGCCAGGAGTAAGACCTGAGTACCACCAAGTGTAGTCCAAAGAGCATACAAAAAGAAAAAAAAAGACTTGTATTCATTTTTAGTCATAATTTCAAGTAGCACAGCAGGTAGGGCGTTTGCCTTGCAAGCAGCCAACATGGCCAACCCAAGTTTGATTCCTCCGCCCCTCTCAGAGAGCCCGGCAAGCTACTGAAAGCATCTCTCCCCACAGCAAAGACTGGCAGGCTACCCGTGACATATTCGATATGCTAAACACAGTAACAAGTGTCACAATGGAGACGTTACTGGACCCGCTCGAGCAAATTGATGAACAATGGGAGAACAGTGACAGTGACTGTGTAATGCATTAAGATGCATCTTTTTATCCTTATAATAATCAAGTGATCAATGTTCTTTTTAATCAGCTGAACCAATGATGTAACAGGCCCTATATCCAAAAGGCCTTTCTCAAGGCCAGAGAGATAGTAGGGCGCTTGTGTTGCACACAGCAGATCTGGGTTCAGTCCCAGCATGCCATGTGGTTCCTATGCCCACCAGGAGTAATTCCTGAGTACAGAGCCTGGAGTAACCCCTGGGGATCATCAGGTGTGGCCCAAACACAAAACAAACAAGAAAGGTCTTTCTCAGGACTCCTCCAAAACAAAAATGTGTCAATGTGTGGAAGTACCTGAATGGCTGGTAAAGACATGATGATGTCTGCTGTCACTAGTAACAGAGGAAATGGGAACTGAAGCAAGAGGTGATTTCCCCACCATGCAGCCTGAAGAGGGTTTTGCTGCAGATCCACCACTGGACCAGGCTGCAGCAGAGGACAATGCGAGACTGCACCACACACACCTGTCGCCAGTTACCTAGGACATGTGCTAGAGCCACCGCAGAAGGCTGGGAAACAGAAGTAGCCGCCATAAAGAAGCAGTGATTGCTTCAAGGACATGGAATGGTCTAGGCGGATGGATTTGGAGTAAGTTTTAAAATCTGGTTTTCCTCCTCTGATGAATATATAGTAAAAACAGCAACAATTAAGACCTTATAACAACAATTAAAACTTCTTGTAATAAGAGGCTGGAGAGACAGTGCAGGGGTTTAAGGCACCTGTCTTACATGTGGCAAACCTGGGTCTCCCCAGCTCCACCAGGAAAGAGTGATGCCCAAGCAGAGCCAGGAATAGCCTGAGCATGGCAAGTGTGGCCCCCAAACCCAAAAGTAAACGAAGCAGTAAATAAAGCGACAGGCCAGAAGGAAGCCCAACACCGGGAGAGGCAGGGGGCCCTGCGCCCTTGACCCAGCCAGCTGATTCCACCCCCAAGGGTCCCCCAACACAAGACTGTCTGTGTGAGGCTCACTCAGGGGGGCTGGGTTCCTGCAGACAGACCTACGAGGGTCAGCTGCAGATCTAAAAACAGAGTCTTAAGGGAGGCTGGGCCATCTGCTCTTTACCAAGTGTCCTGGGTGGGCCAGTGTCCTGGCTGGTACAAGGAACACTGGACAAGCTAAAGCAAAGGTACCCCCTTACTCTAAAGCCGCCCCGCACAGGCAGCCTCCGTCTCCTTACCAAGTACATCCTGGGGGCTGCCGGGGAACTGCTTGCTGAGCACGGTCTCCAGGGCATAGGTCAGGTCCATGCTGTGCCGGGTGATCTCAGCCGGCGTGGCACCTTCCGGGAACATCTGCGTGGGCAACTGGGAGAAGCGGATTTCCGTCCCGGCCCGGGGCTTCATCTCGGGCAGCCGGGCCAGGCCCTCCTGGTAGCTCTTACACTCGGTGTCGCAGCGCGGCAGGTTCTGCTCCAGCCGGTCCTTGGTGTGCTTCATGGAAAGCACGGGCAGCACCTCGGAAAAGGCGCAGATCTGCCGGCTCTCGGGCTGTAGCTTCTCCACAGAGGCCTCGCTGATGAAGTTGGTGAGCGAGATCCATTTCTTGAGCGTGCCATAAGGGTAAGGGCCCAGGAACGGGTCCAGCTCCTGGAGGTTGGCCCGCATGGCCTCTACCTCAGCCTCCGGGGCTGGGCTCAGGTCCACCTCCTCACGGAGCGCATTCCAGCGCAGCACCACCAGCCCACGCTGCTGGAGGCTCAGGAAGAAGCCCATGCGAGGGCCCACATCCCGCGGGTTGGCCTTGTCCACGGAACTGTAGTGCAGGAAGTGGACGCCTGGTGGGATCATCTTCACACCCCGGAACTTGGGCCCCACCTGCCAGGAGTTGTAGTCGATGCCAAACTCTGTCCCCTTGGGCATGTTTAAGATGACCACAGTGGCCCCCTCAAAGAAGAGGCTCTTGGCAAGCTCAGGGTCCATCTGCATGGCAGCCATGGGGCTAGTGGCGGATGGCCTGGTCTTCTAGAAGAGCTGAAAAGAAGGGGATCAAAGTTAGGCAGAACCCAGGGAAGGAAGCACCTGGGCTGAGCAATCTTTAGGCGTCAGGCGCTGAATTAAGTCCCGACAGAACAGTCTCCTCTAATCCTTGCAGCGGCCTCACAGCTGCCAAGGGAATGTGGAGGGCAGAATCAGAGAGGACATCTGTTTTGGTTTGTGGAAAGACCAGAGTGAAAGTGACAAGCTCCAGGCCACAGAGGTCATGCCCTCCAGGCTGGTGTCCTTTCCCCAGTCCTCTTAGGACCTGCTCCCAGAGGTCCCTCACTGCACGGGGCAGGGCAGTAGAGGAAGCCTGGAGAGGCCGCTCTAAACCACAACCTCCTCTGTAATCGAAGGCCAACAGGTGCGGAAGAGTTAAGGAGATGATTAAGAGGGGCACGCACCCCGTTTCCCGTCAGCCTCAGGTAAGGACCAGAAATGAGTAGAAGGGGGACAGAGGATGTTAGCTTCTAAAAATCCACAGAAGGACAGGGGAGCACTTTTCAAGCACAAACCTCCTCTTCTACATACGAAAACCTAAAAGAGGCTGGAGAGAGTCCAGCGGGCAGGACACTTGCCTTGCATGCATCCCACACAGGTTTGATCCTCAGCACCCTGTATGATCCCAAGGCCCACCAGAAGTAATCCCCGAGCACCGAGTCAAGAATAAGGCCCAAGCATCGCTGGGTATGGTCAAAATAAATTAGTAAGCAACTCCAAACCCTAAAGTGCATCCTGGTGGCCCCCAAGCGCCCCACAGCCGGGCCTAAACACCTGACTGACCATCAGGCCCCGAGCGAGCTGCAGAATCAAGCATCACTGAATGTGTCCCCGTTGCCTCCCCACTCTCCAGCCCCCATCTGCAAAACAAAACAACAAAACACAAAACAAATAAAACCCTACAGAGCAGGGAGTGAAAACAAGGGGCACAGTCAGGGACAGCACTGACCCATCACCCAGAAGAGACCCAGGGCTGGGGAGCTCTCAAGCCACGTGAGGATACACAAGAGGGTGTGCACGCAGGCCACCGGGGGATGCACAGAAGGGAGCCCACTCGGAGCACTGCAGCACACGCTTTGCATGCAGGAGTCCTGGGTGCAGCCAAACGAAAAGAGTGAACGGTTCCATCAGGAAGTGACTAACCCAAACAATCACTAGCCTCTAGCCTCAGAAGCCTCTCCCAAGGCGACCAGGGAGCCCCAAGTGCGGGCCGACTGCCATAGTTTCTCTGCCAGGCACTGAGGGACAGGAGCAGAGGAAGCCCCACCCTCAAGGCACCTCCAAGCTAGGTGGCATGGGGGTCCAACAAGACCACCCATTACATAGCAGAGGAAATTTAATTCTTCCACTCCTTTTACTCTTAACTAATAAAACACACAGCAAGGAAAGAAAGAGAAAAAACATTTAGGGCACTTTAAAAATCATCTCTACCTAGAAAAACTATAAATCATTCCCACTCTACATCAACATTTATTTCTGAAGCAAAGTCAATTTGTTAATGGAGTAAGGAGGCATTTATGTCTCAGCCAGCATTAAATTAAATTTTTTTAAAAAAAGGACAAGCACATGAGAGTGGTAATATTATTTTCTGAGTTTGTCTGCTTTATGTATGTCCTGTCAATAATGACATAGAAATGTTGTTATTATTTTTTTTCCAGCGGGGGGTGGGGGGGGCACACCTGGCTGTACTCAGGGCTTGCTTTGGGGTCTGTGATCAGAAATCACTCCTGGCAGGGCTTGGGGGAATCAGATGGGGTGCCCGGGATGGAATTCGGGTTAGCTGCATGCAAGGGAAGAGTTTTACCCAACTCTTCAGGACCCAAAATGTTCTTAAGGCCCAGGCATGTGACTCAGTGGTAGAACACTTGCCTTGCACATACCGGTAGATGGGTTCAACTCCCAGAGCCACCCCACACCCCTCAAAAAAAGTATGTTACTGTCAGTTACAAACACCCCCTTCCCAAAATCTGAAAGCCATTCATTCCTCTAAATAATTTATAGAATCATATGTTCCCACCCAACTCTGAATCCAGAAATAAGTATTTACTGAATGAACGGCTCCTGAAGGATAAGTGCCCATCAGTTAGCCATTCTTCGGCTGGCATCTGTGCCCGTGTCCCTCTCCTTCCCACCCCACCCGCCCGGGCCGCAGGCCTCTCGGGGGAACCTCAGCAGCGGGCACGGTGGCCTGGCCGAGAGAAGATGCCGCAACAAGGAGCAAAGCGCCCCCGCGCCCCCCACGCACGTCCCACCCTTTCTCCCACATCCCTCGCCCGTGCAACCACCGCTGTTTTCTGGGTGGGGTGCGCGGGACCCGGCCACCTGCTCGCACCCACCGCCGGGCACGGGGGCTTGGCACAGAGTCAAGCTTGTCGTGCATCCAACACCCACCCACACGCAAAGCCGAAAGCCAACCCCCCCCCCCACCCTGCTCCTTCCCTCTTAGGATGTGCTGCCCGACCCCCCCCCCCCCTCCGCCCCCAGCCTGCTTCACATCGTATCCCCGGGACAGAAGACCCTTCTGGGGCTTTGCAGCCCCCAGGACTTGGCTCTTCTCCCCTGGGGCGCTCTCGGGGCGCCAGGTCGCTCCTCTCCCTGGCACGGCCCGGGTGTCCCTGCAGCTCCGGCTGGGCCGAACCCTTGTCCTGCGCTATGCAACTTGCAGAGGGGCTGGACAGAGCCCAGAGGGGCGCGGGGGGGGGGGGGGGGAGGGACAGAGCCCATAGGTGCTGGATGGGGCGCAGAGGGGCGGGACAGAGCCCATAGGTGCTGGATGGGGGGCAGAGGGGCGGGACAGAGTCCAGAGGAGGCTGGACAGAGCCCAGAGAGGCGCAGAGGGGCGGGACAGAACCCAGAGGGGCGCAGAGGGGCGGGACAGAGCCCAGAGGGGTCGGACAGAACCCAGAGGGGCGCAGCGGGGCTCCCCCCGACCCTCGGCTCCAAAGTTAAGGGGGAAGTTGGTTACCCCGCGTGCCCCGGGCCGCCCGAGATTCCGCGACGGTTGCTCCTGGGGCCTGCAGAGCCGCCGCGGTCCTGAGTCCGCCCCACCCGCGCGCTACACGCGGGCAGAGCAGCGCCCAGAGGCGGGGATCGCGCTCAGCCGCGGGACTCGGGCCACGCGGAAACGCGCCGGAAGTGCTTCCTCTCCGGCGCCGGACGGGGGCGACGCGGAAAGCGGCCCGGCGGGGCCCCGCGGTCTCGGGCAGAATGGGCCGCGCCTGCAGGTTCCGCATAAAGGGCCCGCGCCGGGGGAATCCCTTTCCATGCTCCTTTCAGCTCCTAACCTCAGAGAACAGCTTCTATCAAACGACCCGTTTCGTATCCCGCCCCAGAAACACACCCACGAGTCATGCTTCTTGGGCCGCAAGCAGTCATGGTCACTGGACTGGGGTCAAGGCCAGGCCGGCAGTCACTCTCAGACCCTCTTCTCAGCCAAAGCCCTGGCTAGCCGCTCTCTACCCAAGTGGCAATATCACATGGTCCTATTATGGGCCAGTCCCAGCTCTAAATCACATGCATCCCCAGTGGCGGTGGTGGTGGGGGCGGGGATTGTAGAGGTGGAGGGGGGCTCAGAACCTTGCCCTGGTTCCAGAGAGAACCCCTTAGCATCAATGAGCAGCAGGTAGGTGTGTCCACCCATAATGATCCAGTGTCCTTCAGCAGCCCAGGTTGAACCTGATGTTTCAGTCAGGCTATAAACATCTTGACTTTGGAGGAACTGTCTTGTTCTCCATCGTTTTCCTGAAACCTAGCACAAAACCAGGCACAAAGAATTGGCAAAATTACATATTACGCACTCAATTAAGCCTGTGCATATTAACAAGGGGCCTCACCTTGGTCTCATGCTAGGCAAGCACCCTACCCGCTGTACTATCTCTCCAGCCCCAGGCCTCACTTTGGGGTTTAGCCCTGTGCTGGGGGGTTGAACCTCCTAGGAGATGTAGATGGTTAAGTCAGCAAGAAGTTGGCTTGCATGGTTCTGAAGGCTGAGTAAGTAAGTGCAAAATTATCTACTATTTCTAGTCCATACGCTAAGCTTAGTCATTAGTGTATGGATTAGAAATGGTAGGGAATAGTTGGGAATTCATATTTCCAACTCACAGGAGATACACTTGAGACTCAAAGAGGTTACACAGAGTGATGGAGCAAGGGATGCAGTGAAGACTGTCCGGCTGTTCTTGTCCAGAGGTGCCTCCCTTTACCTGTCACTCCTTCTCAGTGACAGCTGGTTACGCTTGGTCAAATTCATCTCTCCGTGGATTGCGGTCCAGATGGGCCTGCGGTCATGGTTCTGTGTAACGGATTGCTGCCACATGAACCCGAGCTGGCCTCTTGTCAGTCACAGCCATGCATGTCCACCTCAGCCTGGCCTGTTGCTCCCATTTCTGGGGTGGAAATCTCAGCTCCTCCCCATTCTCCATTCCCAGTCTTGGGTGATGAGTTCCCTGGGCTGGTCTCAAGCCCCTGTTCCATTTGGGTTCCCATCTTCTTTTTGTGTATGTTTTGTTTGGGGTCACACCCAGCAATGTTCAGAGGTTACTTCTGGCTCTGCTCTCAGGAATTACCCCTGAAGGGGCTTGGGGGACCGTATGGGACGCTGGGGATCAAGTCAGAGAGCTAGGACAGACATTAAGGCACTTGCTTTGCACAAGGCCAACCAGGATTCAGTCTATGGTACTGTGTATGGTCTCCTGAATCCTGCCAGGAGTGATTCCTAAGCAGAGAGCCAGGAGTAAGCCCTAGGTATGGACTCCCCCATTTACAAATTAAAAAGATAATAACAATGAATTAATTTCCAAGCCACTACCTAGAGTTTCTTTTCAAATTTTTTTATTTATTGAGGCTCTGTACTTTACAACAGTGTTAATGATGGTTCCCCATCACATAATTCCAACACCACACCCATCACCAGTGTACCCTTTTCCCTTTCCCCAGTGACCCCAAATGCCCCTCCCTTTCAGTCCTGCCCACCCCCCTCCCGAACTCCGTTGTGTGGATCAGTTCTCCTGTTACTGCCTAGCATTTCTGTTCCCAGTGTTCTGGGCCCTGGAGTCTCTCAGAAAATAGGAAGCCCAAACGGGATAGGTGCCAGTTCGCTGGTGTCAAAGGTTGAAGAGCGCCGCTCCCGACGAATCAGCCTCAGTTTAGTCCCAAGCAGAGGCTGACCCTGCAGGAATAGGAGACCAAGCTGCAGATCCAGTGTGTGGGGACCCAACTTCGACAAATCCAATCCCATTCCAAAACCCTAGGGTGACACAAGCCGAGGGAACCTACAGGGGAAATTCAGGGAGGGATTCATACTACTCATGGAAGCAATTGCAGATGTAAAGGACCAGAGTCTAGAGAATGCTGAAGAATTAATTTTCACTGGATGGTATCTGTATCATCTAATGAACGTCTTCTTGTAGAAGAGATCATATTTACATTTGAAACTACAGGGTAATTCCCAGGATATAGATTTTAAAAAAGTATTTAAAATGGATAATAACTTCAGCTCTGATGAAAAGACAGGGAAAAACACACCAGTTGGCCGTGGTTTTTGTTAAACTCTGGACAATAAAGACACAGTGTCTGGTAAGTTATTTGGTGGAATAAAAAGCGTGGTGCGTGCAACTCAGGCAATCCAAGGGCCAAGATTAGGTTTTATTTACATGAAGTGTTGTTTCTAAATGTTACTGTTTGCATTTATTTTTATGAAGACCTCTTTACATTGGCAAGTAGCACTAATTTTCCATTTGTGGAAACTGTATAGTATCCTCTTTTTTAAAAATGGCTTTTAAAAGTTAATTTGAAGAAAAAAATAAGTGGATAACAGGACAAATAGCATTTCTGGGGAGTGTGGGGCTGGGTGGCAGCTGGAGTTAGGGTTTCTGTGTACATTATGCACCCTCCTGTGGAGGGTGGCTTTGGGCAAAACCTGGATGAAGGTGCCCTCTTTCAAGATGTGGGAATCATACTCTTCCTCCTCACCCTGAGCCCTTCTGTTTCCTGGGACCTGCATGCTTCCTGTTCCTTCTACCTAGGAAGTTCTCACCAAGGAGCTGGAGCGATCGTACAGCGGATACGACATTTGCCTTGCATGCTGCTGATCTGGGTATGATCCCCGGCATCCCATATGATCCCCTGAGCACCGCCGAGTAATTCCAGAGTGCCACACCAGGAATAACCCCTGAACATCATTGGATGTGGCCATAAAACAGAACCAAAAACAAACCAAAAAAAAAGTTCTCACCAAAGTTCCTCACCTAACTGGATCTTTCTCTTTATTCAGCTCAAGGAGGCCATAACTGGTCACTGTGTGTGTGTGTGTGTGTGTGTGTGTGTGTGTGTGTGTGTGTGTGTATTGCAGTGCAGGGGAGTTGCTTGTTCCTGGTGGTGCCTAAGGGATCCTGAAGTGCCAGGGACTGAGCCTAGGGTTCCTACAGACAATTCTGTGCTCCAGCCTTTTCCACCTCCCCAGCCCCTGGCTACCTTTTGCTTTTCTTAAAGTGTTGTCTGGAATCCCCGCATCCCCTCCTCCCGTGCAGTCCCTTGCTGGTGTGCGTTGCTCTGGAATGGTCTCTCATGCTGTGCTGTTTCCTAAGGAGCTCCTGGAGAGCAGGCCCCTGTGTCACTGGCGGCTGCATGCACCGAGCCCAGCCCAACCCTCAGTGCACCCTGGGTGTTGCAAACATTTGTCAACCAGAATGTGCTCTAGGTTGGGATCTCTCCATGCTGCCGCCGAGTCCTGTGTCCTAGTCAGCCCAGGTCAGAGGCAGAGGCCGAGGCAGTGAGTGGTTCAGCATCAAACACATTTATTTCACTTTAATTGAGTGTACAAGAACAGAGAGCACACGCATACAGCACAGAGCACTGAGGTGGGGGAAGCGCGGGGACGAGAGAGGGGGGTGAGTCAAAAGGAACAGGACGGCATCGCAGTTGGGTGGTAAAGTGCTTTTGGGGGGTGGGGGAAATAAAAGTATTTAAAGTGATGTTGCTCATGCAATTTCAGGCCAGTCTTGGAATGTGCTTGCAGGGCTCGAAAACGGAAACCGATCATGGCACTTCCTGTACCCTCAGATGGAAAAGATCCGAGAAAGCAAAACAAGAGAAAATGAAGGTCTGGAGGATGGCAGAGTGGACAGAGGTCCTGGAGGGCGTCTGGTTTCTCCTCATGGGCCAGTGGGGGAGATGGGCCCTGAAGGGGGCGGGGGGAGGAGGAGGTGTGTCGCCACGTGGCGAGTTGGGCACTGAGCCAAGATGACCCCCGGACCTCCTCCTGACCGCCCTCCAGGACCTTCCCACTCTGCTCCATGGTCTCCTGGGTGGCACAGAGAGGGTGAAATGCCAAAGGGATAAAAGGAGAAGTAGGTTGAAGACAGACAAGACAGACGTCTCTATTCTCCATGAAGAGGGGGTGCGGGGAAGCAGCGCCCTAGATTTCGCTCGGCAATGCCCCCTCCTGCCCGCATGTGGGACAGAGGCCTCCACACACCCCGGTGGGCCCAGCTCAGCTGCTCGCGTCAACCCCGCAGCCTCGCGGCTCACTGAGGTGTGTCCAGGGTGCCCTGGATGACCGGCTCCCACCAAGACAGGGGTGCCCGGGCCAAACCCCAGGGGGCCCGGAGAGGAGGCCACTCCAGCCCTTGCCCTAATGTCTGGAGGCATGGAGAGGCCCCGCGTTTTCTTCCCGGGCGCTAAGTGTGTGGGCATTCAGGCTGCGGCGATGCTGTCTGGAAGGGTGAGACTCCGCTCGTGCCCGTGCCCTGCCCCTGTCTGCTCACTGTCACACATTCTTTTTCTGTGACTTGTCCCGCCTTGAGTCAGCACCAGAGACGTGTCTTTGGGGGTGACAGCCCTCTGAGCCTTCAGAGGCAATGTCCAGGACGTTGGGGGGGCGTTGGCAATGCTCTTGGAAGGGCTGGAAATGTAAGGCTGGCTCCAGGGGGCTGCCCGGGGCCTCCCCTTCCCTCCCCCCTTCAGCCCGAGACAGCAGCTGGAGCTAGTCAGTGAGTAGCTGCGGGATAGACCTATCGACGGCTTTCGAAGCAAAGCTGGGGCATGGGGTGGGCCTGAGAACCCCCAGCACAGGTGGGAGACCCTCCTCAGGGAGGCATTCCTGCTGGCAGCAAGCTTGAGGGGCCCTGGGAGCCCCTGCTTCACTGGCCTTGGGTGGGGGTGGGGTGGGAGAGTCCTCTGGGCTCTTCCTCTGAGGGTGCCTGGGGGCACAGGCACGGATGCAGCCGGAAGTGGGGGGTAGGTCTGCAGAGGCCGACTCAGTGCTGGGACTCGGGGCCACCCCCACCTCTATCCTCTGCCTGTGAAGGGGCTGGCGAGGCCTTAGACAATTGGGGCTGAGCAGAAGCCTGCCCTGGGATCTGGCCTCTGCCCTGGCTGCTTGGGCCCAGAAAAGAGAAAATTGCCAATGAAGATAGGGCCAAGGGAAAGGCTGGGCGGGAAGTGCCCGGCCAGCCGGCCAGGTGGAGGCCCCCATCCTCTGGGGGAGCAGGGTGTGCTTGGAGGCGGGGGGGGGGGGGGTGGGCGTCACTGCACAGCGAGCTTGCTGTCATGGGGCTGTCAGGGATAGGCAAGATATGTGGCCAAGAAAAGGGGAGGCAGGGCACAAGGCCAGGGGGCCCATGCACAGGGCCCCATCACCGAACCCCAAGTGTGAGCACAGACCAGGCACTGGTAGCTCCTGCCGGTGGGGTGGGGGGGGGGGGGGGCGGAGAGAAGCCACTAGGGGTCAGATCTGTGTTGCTTCCTTCTTGCCAGGCTCCTGTCTCTGCACTCCGGGACTCCCCCTCCCCGTCCCTTCCCACCAATCCACCAATCACGAACACCACACATGGTATCACTACACGGAACCGCGGCCCCGCCGGGGAGCGGGAACAGCTGGGCTCCCCATTCTCGGTGGCCCGGCCTTTCCGCTGAGGTCAAGGGAGCCTCGTGGGGACCTCGAGCACAGTGAGAGCATCATCACTTTAGAACGGCGGCTTCATACTTACCAGCACTGTTTATTGGAATAGTTTTCTCCTGTTCTATGCGAAATACATAACTGAAAAGCACGTCCCATACACATCTCCGACAAGCTGCACCTTCGTCAAGAGAACCACCGGCAGCACCCAGTGGCGACGTCCCTTCCTCGGGCTGTCCTCTGCTCGGCTTTCCTCTTGGGTTTTCTGGACGGAACCGGACTGCCCGTGGCCCTCTTCAAGCCTGGACACAGAGTGGGTGGCGGGCGGGGGGGGAGGAAGGAGCCGAGACAGAACAGGACGATAAGACCAGCGGGAGTCGAAGGGGAAGGGAGGCAGAAGAAAGGAAGGTAGGTTTGGCAGCCCAGTGTCAAGACCCAAAAAAATAACAATCCAGTGTTCCTCTTCCTCCTCCTCTTCCTCCTCCTCCTCCTCTCCAAGTAGGGGTTTTCGTTCTCTCTCGGAAGACGGTTGACGGTGCGTGTGCTGCTCCTGCGGCTTCGCTGCCAGGGTGCTTCCCTTGGCATGTGGGAGGGGACGACAGACACTGGGGAAGGAAATGAGGGTGCCCGTCTACTAAACAGAACGACGTGCAGAACCGGGGTCGGGGGGAGGGGGCCCGGCGGATGTCTGCCCTTGGCTGGTCTTGGGCATCAACCGGGGGAGCTGGGGGAGTCCTCGTTGTTCTCATTTTGTTTTGTTTTGTTTCCCTGAAAAATCCCCTCTCCCTCCCCCTCCATCCTTCGATCTGTCTGCAGAGGAAATGTGGGTGGTTCGGAGGTTGGTTATTGCCGTTGGCCGACAGCTTGGTCAGCCCCAGCAGCAGTGGGAGGACGCGGTGTTTCCTGTATATATATCTATATCTCTATATATCTCTATATATATGCTTTCCCCTTCCCAGTCTCTCCTCGGGGACGGCGCGTCGCAGCTGGGACGGCGGTGTTGATTCGGAGAGTCCAGAGCAAAGGCCCCTTCTGAATGGTTCTCTGGCTGGAGTTGGACCAGAAATGCCAGCATCCCCGTCACCGAGGTCAGGACTCCTGGAGTGGGGGAGGGAGGAAGATAAGACAAGTCAGGACCAGTGGCCGTGCTCCGAGCCGCAGCCCAGTGTCCACAGGGTGAGGAAGTTCTGAGTGCAGGGGGACACCTGGGTCTCAGAGACAAGGTGTGCCTATAGCTCCTGCCCCCTTCCCCTGAAGTCAGGGAGTTGCCCGAGGTCTGCAGAATCTCCCTTTCCTGACTTGCAGGATGGACCAGAGGTGACCCTCCCACCCAGCTCTCAGACCATGCCGGGAGTGACCATTTCTGTGATGAGGGTCACTCGTTCAGCTGATGGAAAACGTGGCCCTGAGAGAGGTATAGAACTCTTTGGAAACCATGCAATGAATCACAGGCAGAGTTTCAAATGTGGGTCCAGGGACTACAGCACTGTTTAGATGGGAACACAGTGGCATCTGCCCGTCCGTTAGACCAGCCTTTTGAAAGAATTCATTGAAATGTTTTTCATTTTGTGGCTGGAGTGAAAGTCCAGCAGGCGAGGTGCTGGACTTGCACTTGGCTGATATGGGTTGGATCCCCGGCATCCCATATGGTCCCCTCCACCAAGCACCGCCAGGAGTGATCCCTGAGCCGGGAGTAATCCCCCAAGCATCTGCCGGGTGTGGCCTAACCACCCCCACCCCCAGTGTTTTTCATTTTAGTTATAAACTAAAGTAGTTTATGATTTTATACGTGGGGGTGGGAAAGATCTACTGGGCCACACCTGACGATATCTGGGTACCTCTGAGGCTATTCTGTGGTGCTTCGCTGGGTAGCAGGGACTGAACCCATGTCCTCAACCAGGGCAAGACCCACGGCCCTGACCCCTGAGCTATTTACCCAGACCCTGTTAAGGACTATTGGAAACAAACAAACAAACAAACGAATTTCAGTGTGGGTTGGGGGACATAGCTCGAAGGGCTGGAGGTGGAGTCTAAATTCCAGCACTGTGGGGTCTCCTAAGCAAGGACCCTCGAGTAGCCCCCCTCATCCCTACCACATATGACCTCCAAAATGGAAAAACCAAACCAAACCAAACCAGATAGAGCTTTCTGGAGTCAGGGGTATGGCTTAGTGAAAGGAAGCAAGCATGCCTTATATACGGGAGGGCCTGGGTTTGATCACTCGCAGCCCAAAAGAAACAGGAGTTTCCCTCCCCCACAGACATTGTTGTTGTTGTTGTTGTTGTTGTTGAAATGTGTGTATGAGAACAACACACTGCATCCCCCACAGATGCAGTCAGTGCATCTGGCTACACGGGGAGTCAGCTGAGGCAGGGAGATGGTTCAGAGGACCAGAGCCCAGGCTCTGTGTGCAGGAGACCTGGGTTCAATCCCCAGCACTGCAGGGAGCAACTTCCCACCCCCAGGCAGGGCCACCCGGCGTGGACCCCAAACAAAAGCAAAACAAACTAGAGTCTGTGGTTTTTCCTTCTTGGTGGAGACACTGGGAAAGCACGTGGGTGGCCAAGGCCGGTCTCTGTCTATCCAGGGCCACGCGGACACGATGACCTTTACAGAGGGACCCGCAGAGAGTGGCGGCGAATGGGCGGAGCGCGTGGGGCAGCAGCACGCGAAGAGAGAGCCAAGAGCAGAGGGAGCAAGGATGGGGAGGAAGGAAGGAGCCAGCCAAGGGAGCAGTGAGGCGGGCGGAAGGGAAGGATGCCACGGCAGGGGATGTGAGCTGGCAGCAGCGGGGAAAGAGGCACTGGGAGTGAGGAGGAGGCGGCGGCGGAGGAGAAGGGAAATGCGTGTGTGAGAACAACGCGAGACGGGGATGCCGGGAGAGCAGAGCGGTGGGGGGCTTTGCCAATCTCTTCATTTTGACATGAGGGAACCAAATGCCCACCAGGGAGAGGGGAGTGGGAAGGCTGGCACAGGAGCCGGGCCCCTGGCTCACAGCACAGTGCCCCTTCCATCATTCTCCTAATGCTGACCACGTGCCCGCGAACTTCCTGATGCCCAGGTCTGCACCAGGCTTCTGCCTCACACTGGTGGCAACAGTTCTCCGGCCGGAGTGACCCATGCTCCCTGGCCACCAGCTGGCCAGGATCTCTCCTCTGCTGCTCTGAGATCTGGGAGATCAAAAGCACGAGTAACTGAATGATGGAGCGGGGCGGCAGGTCTTGCCGGGGTCCAGCTTCCACACTGAGAAGGGCACCTCCCACAGGAACAGTCAGAGCGCACACCCTGGGCTCCGGCAAACATTGGAGGCACAACTGATTTTCCAAACAAAGAGTTTCTAAGGCAGCTTTCTCAAGTTTCCAGGTCGTTTTGATTGTCTAAAATTCTCTACATTTACTGAGACCCATGATCCAGAGACCCATAAATAAATCTCAAAAGAGATCAACAAGTTGCAGAAGACTCTCCCCGATGCCCCTGCTCATGGCTGAGTTGTCTGGGCACCCTGGAGAGGTGTGGGTGAGCCCAGCGCCCGCTCAAACAGAGCCCCAGCAGCTGAAAGCTCCCACACTCAATAATTGCCGCCATGCTCCTGGACAGACCCCACTGCTTGGGATAAGCTTCATTCAGAAATTAATCTGCTGAAAAAACTCAGATATGTGGGTTTTGTGACTGAAATCTCCAGGCTTTCATGGTGTTGAGATGGGCGACCTCTTCCCATCTCCCTGTACTTCCGAAAGCCCTGGCAGTCACACACAACCCCCAAAGCCACCACCCAGTTAAAAATTTAACTCTAGCTGTATCACCCCATTAAAAATTCTGGACTTCCTGGAGGAACATGTCAAACTCTACAGCACTGATAAGCCAGTAGTAGCACACCAAATGGGATGGGACATAATGTAGATGGCAACCAATCCCGATGAACAAGATATAGCAACAAAAGGCTTAACCTGTAACATCCTGTAACATCTTAGTAATCTCTTATACAAAAAATAATGGCTTCAAGGTGAGATCTAACAATCTTCACTAACTTTCTTCTAAGAAAACATGTTTGATCATTCTTTCAGCAAATTATTGATAACAAGCAATATTAAATAATTGAGGGCCTGCTATGGGAGCAGGCTTAAGGGATGGTTGGGAAAACAGGAGAGAATGGTGGAAGGAAAGTATAATGGTGGTGGGATTGGTGTTAGAATATCGAATGCCTGTAACAAATCATCATGAACAACTTCGTAAACCAGTGTTTATATAAAGCTTGCAAGGGAAATGGAAAAAAATAATTACTTAACTACACTTAACTAAAAAATAAAATTCTCTACCAAAAATTAGAAACTGAGGCCATAACAACAGTACAGTGGGTAGGGTGTCTGCCTTGAATGAGGCCTGCTGAGTTCAATACCCAACACCTCATTTGGTGCACTGCAGGAGTGATCATGGAGCACAGAGCCAGGAGTAACCCCTGAGCACTGGCAGGTGTGTGCCCCCCAAAAAGAAAGAAAATATTAGAAACCCTATATTTCAAAGTTAAAAATCCCAAAATGTGAGTTTATGAAACCATAAAAAAATAATTTTGTACTATGGTTTTTGGGCTGGAGCGATAGCACAGCGGTAGGGTGTTCGCCTTACAAGCGGCCAACATTGCCGACCCGAGTTCGATTCCTCCGCCCCTCTCGGAGAGCCCGGCAAGCTACCGAGAGTATTCGATATGCCAGACACAGTAACAACAAAGTCTCCAATGGAGACGTTACTGGGCCCGCTCGAGCAAATCGACGATCAACGGAAGGGCCTTTACCTTTACCTTACTATGGTTTTTACTTAATCCAACATATCCAAATGTTATCATTTCACCATAATAATCAGTGTAAGTTATCAAGCTATTGTATATTCCTTTTTCATCTCGTTTTGTTTATACCTGGTCATACCTGGCAGTGCTCAGGGTTGACTCCTGGCTCTGTGCTCAGGTCTCACTCTTGGTAGTGCTCGGGGATCCTATGGGATGCTGGGGATTGAACTCAGGTCAGTCATGTGTAAGGCAAGCGCCTTACTCACTGTACTATCTCTCAGGCCTCTCATCTTTTTTGTTTATTTGGGGGCCATACCCAGTGGTGCTCAGGGGCTTAACTCCTGGCTTTGTGCTCAGGGATCACTCCTGGTAGGCTCAGGGGACCCCACAAAGGCAGTGCTGGGAAGTGAACCTGGGTAGGCTGCGTGCAAGGCAAGTGCCCTGCCTCTGCTGTCCTATCCCTCCGGCCCTTCCTTTTCACATTTAAAACCGTCAAAAAAAAAAAAGTCCTACACATGCTCTGCCTTGAAAACACCTCTCATTCTGGAGCAGCCTGACATGAGCATTCAAAGCACTCGGCAGCCTGCCGCAGCGAGTGGCTCCAATACTTCCTGACTCTGAGGACAATTCCTGCCCGAGGACAATTCCGGCTCTGCAGAGAAAGTTCTACCAGAAACCTCTGGGCTAAAGTGGGGTTTAGCAGCCTTCCAAAGTGGCAGCAAAACTAATGTCAGTGTCTTTTCTTGTGATATGAAGAGAGTGGGAATCAAAAGAAGACAGAGACATGCTTCTATTTTCCTAGTGAACGTGGGTTTCACTAGGGAAGAGGCCAAAAAGGAAACCTGATCCTTTATGTGTTTGTGTGTGTGGGGGGAGTCTTCAAAATACTTTTTTTTTTCATATTGTAGAAAATGAAAAAAGGGCTGGAGCAATAGCACGGCGGTAGGGTGTTTGCCTTACACGCGGCCAACATGGCCGACCCAAGTTCAATTCCTCTGGCAAGCTACCGAGAGTATCTCGCCCGCACGGCAGAGCCTGGCAAGCTACCCGTGATGTATTCGATATGCCAAACACAATAACAACAAGTATCACAATGGAGACGTTACTGGGCCCGCTCAAGCAAATCGATGAACAACGGGAGGACCGTGACCATGACCGTGATTGTAGAAAATAAGGTAAAACATGTCTCCACATAAAACCTAAGTATAGTGCTTGAACCAGTTTGGGTTTTTAATTTTTATTTATTTATTTATTTATTTATTTTTGCTTTTTGGGTCACATCCAGCCAAGCACAGGGGGGTTACTCCTGGCTCATGCACTCAGGAATTACTCCTGGCGGTGCTCGGGGGACCATATGGGATGCTGGGAATTGAACCCGGGTCAGCCACATGCAAGGCAAACACCTTCCCAGCTGTGCTATCACTCCAGCCCTTGAACCAGTTTTGTTCAAAGCATCATCCCAAGGAACCACACAGTTCAAAACACTGATATTTCTCAGGGGCAGAAGGTCCCCTGTGACCAGCCTGTCCACACCACGAACCCCCAAGTGATCCCATTCTGACTTTTGCCACTGTACATATGACATCTTATCATCTAGTTCTTACTCTGGAGAACCTGGCAGGCTATCAAAAGTAACCTGCCCACACGGCAGAGTCTGGTAAACTCCCCGTGGCGTATTCAATATGCCAAAAACCAGTAACAATGATGGTTCTCATTCTCCTGACCCTGAAAGAGCCTCGAATGTGGCACTTTTTAAAATCTCAGGGCTAGGATGGGAGACGTTACTGGGGCCTGCTCGAGGCAATCGTGAACAACAGGAAGACAGTGATACAGTGATACATAAGTCTTTGTTTCTTTGTTGTTTTTGGGCCACACCTGGCAGTGCTCAGAGCTTACTCCTGACTCTGCAAAAGATCAGCTCTGTCGGCACCCTGTGAGATACTAGGGATGGAACCTGGGCCGGCCTTGTGCCAGGACTGCCCCCTCTCAGTTGTACTGTGGCTCCAGCCCTACCAACCAGTCTTGCCTGGCTGGGAACGTCCTGGATATGGGTACACACAGACTCTTATTTTGCGGGACGCAGACTCTATAGGGGTTTGTTGGAGAGGCCCGGGAGAACCTCCCCTAGGCTGGAATCCCACCAGGGAAGGCCCCAGGTGGGCTGTGCCACCTCATCCCACATATGCTGAGGGATGGGAGCAGACTGGAAATGATGGTAGTCCCCTGTGAGTGAGTGTGTGTGAGACAGCACATGTGCTGTACTACCAAGATGCTGGAGAAGTGAAGAGGCTGTAGCCATCAAGGACCTGTGTCACAGACCCTTCCCTTGGCCACGCTGGGACAGACTCTGGGACAGGAGCGAGGCTTCAAACCAAGCTTTCCCACCTTCCTGCTCACTGACCACAGCCTGCGAGGTCCCGTGTGCCTCCATCTGTCCCACGCAGTGCCCCGTCAGTCCTCTCTCCCCTTTTCTTCCTTTTACTTTTTTCTTGGGAGGCGGGGCACAGCTGGCGATGCTCAGGGCTTATTCCTGGCTCTGTGCTCAGGAATCACTCCTGATGGTGCTCGGAGGACCAGCAGTGCTGAGGCTCGAACCTAGGTCGCCCCTGGATAATATCTCCAGCCCCAAATTAACTGCTTCTGAATTCCTTTGGGGGAGGATCTGGAGCCTGAGGCCCCCAGAAGCTGATAAACCAGACTCCATTCCCTCCCTGCTGAGTTCGTGTTTGTGGGGGAGCGAGAGCTGTGAACTGAATTTGCGGTGGGGAGGGGTGGGGCAGGGTGGGGGGTGGACATCGGAGGGACTGGCTGAGCTGCTGTATGGGCTTGAGGGTTGGGGGGCACCTGGGGAGGACCAGGCTTACCTGCGGCTTCCTGTCCCGCTCCTCCGGGGAGGGCTCTGTTTCTCTGTACACGACGGCTTTGGTGACCAGCATGTCCGGATGCTGAAGTTTGGCCTCCTTGATGGCCAAAGCCAGGGCCTGGTGGGAAAGAACGGCGAAATGAGGCATCACAGACACTGGACACCAGCAGGCCCCTGAGAGCAGAGTTGGGGAAACTGAGGCCCGAGGAGGAGAAAGGTCCAACAGCTACAGGGAGAAGCAAGAGCTCAGGTCTCTTGGCTCCTTCGGGTCCCGTTTCCCTCCCCCACGAACCACTTGCTTGGACAGGGTTGGCAGGAAAGTGACACATTTGCCCTCTAGAGCTGCCATCCCAGGGGACCCCAGTGCCCTGGGAGTAACTTAGTAACTTGTTCCCAGCTTTTCTTTTTCTTTTTGGGTCACACCCAGTTACTCAGGAGTCACTCCTGGTTCTGCACTCAGGAATTACTTCCTGGCAGTGCTTGGGGGACCATATGGGATGCTGGGAATTGATCCCAGGTCAGCCGCGTGCAAGGCAAAAGGCCCTCCCCGCTGTGCTAGGGCCCCGGCACCCCCATACCTGGTCTTGATCCACATCTTCATCCCCAGTAATGATGATTCTCTTCTCAATCCTCGTCTCCGAAAACCCCCCTTTCACAGTCTGCAGGGGGAGGGGGAGGCGGTGTCAGATGGTCCCCAGTGGCAGCCCCCTTCTCTGCATCTGCCCTGGTGGCCCCCTCTCTGCCCATTCCCCAACAGCCTCTCTGGGCCTTTGAGTCCAGACCCCCGCCCCCCCCCCCCCCCCCCCGGTGAGCCACCCCCTGCTTTCTGGTCCTGAGCAGCTCATGTGTGACTGTCCCAGTTCAGGCCCTGAGGCTGTGCCTCACACCCACCTTGTGTGTCGGCTGGCCTCGCCCACCGGGCCGGAGCCCTGAACCCCCGCGCACAACCCAGCCTTCCCCTGCCCAGAGCTCGGGGTGCTCGAAGCAGAGGTGTTGGATGAACGCATGAATGAAATGGGGATGGTGACGGCGTTCTGCCTTCCATGACCTCAAACCAGACCCGGAGAGCGAATTTCCTCCCAGAGACTCCCAAGCCCACCCACTGCTGCGGGGCCGGGCTGGGCCCTTGCTCGGGAGGAGGGAACATGGAGGGGACACGGAGAGGACTTGGAGAGGACAGGCGTGCTTGGCCCGGTGGGGAGCAGGGCTTGGGGAGTCGGGCTTGGGATGGCTTCTCTGGTTTGCTTTGGGGGCTGCCTCACACACACTCACTCACACGGGGCATGTGCTCTACTGCGCAGTCCCCCAGAAGCACTTGGGGAGAAATTTTCTGGGCTGTCCGCAGGGTGGGCGAGTGTGGGAAAAATCTTCCCATAAACCCTTCGGTGAGGTTGGCTGTGCTCGCCGAGGCTTTGGAGAAGAGGGGGACACTTGTGGGGGCGGAGGTCGGGGAGGCAAGGCGAGGTTCTGAGTACCACAGAGGGGCCGGAGGGCTGGGGGCTCTCAAGTGTGGAAAGGGCCAGACTCAGCAGAAACCCAACCTCAGAAGCCCCGGGTGTGGACCTGACGGCAAGCCCGTCCCCTGCGTGACCTCTCTGTCTGTCTTCCCACTCCTTGCACAGAGCCTCCACCCCTGCCCTCTGCCCAGGCCCCGCCTCCCTGCAGCTCCCCACTTCTTACAACCCTGGGCCTAGCCTCATCCTTCGTGGTACTCCCGGGGTCCCCCCACTCCGACCAGCTCTTCTCATCACACCAGTCCCCTGATGTACCCGCCATGCCCAGGCTGTCCTCATCCTGTATGTTTCTGTCCCCTGAGCACCCAGGAATGCGGCCAGCAGCAGCACAGAGGCCGCGAGGGACCCACGGTAACTAGCATCTGCACCCCAGTAAGTGAGCAAAAGCGGCTTCAGCTCATCTTCAGAGCCCTGCAACCCTCTTCTCCCTGGACAGGCCTCCCGGGCCCTGTCCCACCCCCGTCTTCCCAGAGACCCTTCCTCAAGACCCTCGCCAGTCTGGCCCTGGGCACGCTGGAGCCGGAGGGTGCAGGGCACAGCACTGAATGCAGCTCCCAGGAACGGGGCGCTCCCAGGGGTTCTCGAAGCAAAGGCCTGAGCTTCCCGGGCGCTGCAGCCAGGCCAGAGCGGAGGGCGCCCTGCAGTGGCTACTCACTTTGGTGACATGGGTGGTGGTGGAGGTGGACAGGGTTTCCGCGGTGGCGCCGTAGGTGCTGGTGAGGACATCTTTCCCGATGATCTGCAGAACATAACCACCCCCCGCCCAGGGGTCAGGTGAGGAGTGGGGGGGGGGTGCTCTAGGTGGAGGGAGGCAGGTGGGGGCGGGGCAGGGAGGGGCTCCCAGGAAGCCAAGATGCTCCCAACGAGAGCATCTGAGACTTGAGTCTGAGACTCAAGAATTCTGGAACCTTCTGCAAGCTAGACCCACTGTGCAGGGGCTGTGCAGGGCACAGAGCCCTCGTGGCATGACTTGGGGGGATCCAGAGCAGACATGCCGTAGCCCGGGGTCCTCCACCAGGAGAGTGGGGAGCAGCCCCTCTCGGGGGGGCTGGCTCCAGAGTCCGAGCAAGCCGTAAGCCCCAGAGCCTCCTCTCTCCCTGCCCCTGGGGGGAGGGGGGGAAGCAAAGGCGGAGGAGGGCAGGGACACGGCATGAAACCCCCACAGCCGGTGCCCTGCTGTGTGCATGCAGGGGGGTGGGTGAAGCCGAGGCAAGACCCTGGTGGGCACCTGCAAGCCCACGGCACCGAGGGGGCAGCCGTCTGGGCCGTCAGCTGCATCGCTGTGGGTCCCATTGGACCCAAGACCACGTCTCAGCGTGGCGTCCCCTAGCCTGAGCTGGCCCTGCCCACTTACCGGAGAAAGAGAACGGATTTCCGTGGCCACCGTCGGTGGGCCTGGGATCGTGGCCGCTGCCCCCTTCCCGGACTTGAGACTGTTCTCCTGGGGAAACAATAGTGCTCAGAAGGCCAGGTCTCAGGTGGGGGACCCCGGGGGGTTTGGGGGGCTGCGGCCTGGGGCCACACATCTCTCTGGGCCGCCAGGTCGTGCAGAGAGCTGGAGGCCCCATTCCGTTGTCTCTCCCATCCATCCTGGCACACTGCTCGCTTCCATGCTCCCACACGACACACTTGCTTACTCGCTTACTTGCCCACAGCCTAGCTGGGCAGGGTGGAGGGGGGAGCTGGGGGAAGGTGTGAGGCCTCTCCAGAGGCCTAGTGACCCCTGGGTCTGGGGCAGAGTTACTTCCTGCAAAGGTGTGTCCTTGTGGTTACAAATGTCTCCCTGGCCCAGTGTGTGTGTGTACGTGTATGCATGTGTGTGTGTATGTGTGTGTGTGTGTGTGTGTGTGTGTGTGTGTGTGTGTGCTGGGAGGCTATGGAAGGGTATACAGAGTTGGGGGACCATGGGAGAGCTGTGTGCCATCGCTTGCCTGTAAACCTGATTCTGCTCTAAGACAGTCTTTTTCTTTTTTCTTTTTTGGATCACACCTAGTGATGCATAGGGGTTACTCCTGGCTCTGCACTCAGGAATTATTCCTGGCAGTGCTCAGGGGACCATATGGGATGCTGGGAATCGAACCCGGGTTGGCTGATTGCAAGGCAAATGCCCTACCCGCTATGCTATCACTCCAGTCCCCTAAGAAAGTCGTTAAGAGGACTGCGAGACAGCGCAAGAATGACGGCATTTGCCCTGAAGGAGGCCGGCCCGGGTTCCATCTGTCGCACTGTATAAGGTCCCTAGGCCCCGCCAGGAGGGATCCTGGACAGAGCTGAGAGGAACCCAAGCACTGCTGGCTGTGACCCAGCAAAGAAAGCAGTGTTTTTTTTTCTTTTAAGGGGGTGGGGAGCCATTGCCACTACCACAGAGGTACCCTGAGTTCACTGGGGGCGGTGAGGGGGTGGGGGTGGGGGAACAGGCCTGGTAAACTGCAAACTGAGGGTAAGTGAAGGCATACAGGCTGCTGCTGAAAACACAGCAGCTCTGCGGCTCCCTGGGGCCGCGCTGCCTTCAGCCTGAGCATCCCGGCAAGTTAGAGATGGAGCAGGTGGCGTGCTCCACGTCCGTGACCTGCTCCTGGATGCTGCTCTGAGTGGGGCTTCTGGCCCTGCCTCGTGTGCAGGCTGCAAGAGCCTGAGAATTGGCCCCACAATGGCAGGACCCGGCTGCCTGTCTCTCCTCCCCTCTCCTGCACCCTCCGAGGTCTCGTCTCCCTCATTCGGGGCCTGGAGCTCCCTCTGCAACTGCTCACGGGGCTGGGCCATGGCGTGGGGGACCAGCTCAGGGCCACTGCCCGGCCTGGAACAACTGAGGAGCAGAAGCCCTCAGCCGACCCCTGCGCTGTCCCCGGCTGCTGCCCCACGGGGTCCTAGCAGTGTCCTGGAGTCACGCTGGGTCCTTCTGCCTGAAAGCCCCTGCGGGGCGGGACCAGGCCTCACCTCTGCTGGCCTGCTGCAGCCAGCAGGCGAAAGGGGCCACCAGGCAGTGCTTGCCCCTGCCTCCCGGCGGTCAGCCAAGTCTCTCCCGCCCTGGCCAGCACTGGGTCCCGCACCCAGCCCTACAGATCCTCTTCTCCTGAGGCACTTGCTGGGGGCTGCAGCCATAGCAGAGCGGTCAGGACTCTGGCTTTGCACACAACCGACCCAGGTTCGAGCCCCGTCATCCCTGTCATCTGGTCTCCAGGGCCCTGCCAGAAGTGATTCCTGAGTACAGAGTCGGGAGTCAGCCCTGAGCAGGGGTGTGACCCCCAAACAACAGTAAGGAAGATAGGGGGGCTTCAGGCTTTCCTCTTCACTGCCACCTCCCCCAAGGCGACTCCCCACCCCCTGCGCCCCCTCATCTGCAGCCCAGGTCTGTCTTAAACCCTCAGACTTCATTCTTATTTCTGGGACTCTCAAGCAAGTGCTCAGGGGGCCCTGTGGCCACTCCCGGCCACATAGGGCTCCCAGGTGGAGGGGTCCGATCAGTATTTGGGGGAGGGAGGAGGGAAGACCAAGGAGGAAACTTGGTGGGGGGGGGTGCTGGCATCATCTCTCTAAGACACTGGCATACCTGGGTGATGCCCTTATTCTCGCCTCAGAGTGAAGCTACTTTCTGGTCTCTGGGTTGGAGCTGGGACCCGGCCCCGGACATTGGGGCCCTGCAGTGTGGCCCCATCTTCTCTCTGGCCAGCCCATCTCTTCCCCGCTTGCCTCTCCCCTGCTCTGTTCCTCCACGGCCTCTGTCTTCACCTGGGCCACACCCAGCCCTCTACCCCCCCATCTCCACTGCCTCAGACCATGGCTGTAGCTCGAGTCAGTCCACCGGCTGGGCAAAGCCCCCGTCTCCTCCAGGCTCTGCGGGTCCACAGAGGCAGGAGCTGACAACACAGCACTGACTGCACCAGGCACGGACTCCCCCTGGCACAAGCCCCGAGTTGGGCCTGACACCCACCTTGACCCTGCGGGAACCAGCCAGGAGAGGAAGGCCAGGCAGGGCTCACCACTGAGGGCCCAGCACCAAGAGATGGGGCGGAGGGCATCTCAGCCTGTACACCCCCGATACTCTGCATGAAACCGTCCAGCGGGCAGGGGTTTTCTTGGCTCCAGACCCCTGGATCAGGCCATGGCAGAGACTAATGTTTTTTGGAACAAATGAATGGATGGATGGAAAGATGGGTGAATGACCAATGTCACCGCAGCAGGAATTCAAATTCAGCCCCAGAAGCTGCCCTGTGTCAAGTGGTAAAGGGATGGGGAGTGGGGGGAGAGACTGAATGGTCAGGGTGACCGGGGAGAAGGGGACTCTGGTTTGGGTTTATTCCTTTCAAATTCTGTTCACTCAAAACCTACCTGCGGGCAGTCTACATGAATGCGGAGTGTTGGCCAGAGAGGGCATTTGAAAAGAACTCAGGCATACAAGGTCCGTCCAGCCTGAGTGCTGATGCCCCTCCAGTCCCGCTCTGGCCCTTACCCCAAGGCTGACACCAACCTATCTTTGCCCTGACTCCACCACTCAAAGGCTGTGTGATCATGAGTAAGTCACTGCTACTCTCTGAACTCCTGTTTCCTCATCTGTAAAGGGTGAAGAAACAAGAGTGCCTGTCCCCTGGGTTCTGTGAACCCGAAACACTTCTCAGCGCGGCACCCAGCGGGCACCACATGACCTTGGCACTGTACCTGCTTCCCTGGGGCCCAGTGAGACAGGACTCGACAGACTGACCAACCCGGCAGGCTGGAGAAGACCCCCACTTTCCAGATGAGGAACCTGAGGCAGGGGCCTTCCTTCATGCCTCGAGGGCAATAGGGCCCTGTGGGAGGGAGGTGGCCAGGCCCCCATCCTGAAGTGTCCATTAATGTCCATGGAGTGCCATCTACTGGCCAAAGCAAGGAAGTGGCCCAAGACTTCAGACCAGCCACCAGGACCCAGGACAGGGCTGCCAGGTCCAGTCCTCTGGTGCTGCCAACCAAGCTCCATCCTCCCTCTACCCTGGCACGGCAGAGACGGGCCAGAGAACCGAGACTCAGGGATCCCATGGGTCACACTTGCAGGGAAGCCCTGGGTCTGGGGCGACCGCAATTGCAGAGGCTGCCAGCTGCCCTCTGCCGGACACTGTGTGATGGGTGTGTGTCGGGGGACCTTCCCGAGGCAGCTGTTGGGGTGAGCGTGTCATCCGGCTGCCCTGAGGGGCCAGAGGCAGTGGAAAGTGTCCCGGGTCCGACTTACCATGGTGGTGGAGATGGTCTCCGTGGTGATGGAGGGAGTGGTGGTTAAGAACTCCTTCCCCCCGGGGGCAGCCCCGTCCACCTGATGACCAAGGAGAAGCCAATGGGGGGTGGGGGTGGGGAGGAGAGAGAGCACACCTGTAGCATCTGCCAGCCAAGCCCCTGGTACCCCCATTCACATGAGAGGCTGGGAGTGAACATGCCTGGGGGGTTCACCTACAGACTGAATTATGGGTGCGGGAGGGGTGTCTCACAGCCCCTCCAGTTCAATTCAGTCAACTTATCTGACAAAGGAGAAAGAACCTCAGACCACTTGACCAGTTCGACCCAAATTTCATTAACCATTATCTTTGGACCTAATCATTCCCGTGCTGGGAATTTTACCCTTTGGCTATACACAATGAAGGAATCAGGAAGCTCATCCCAGCACCTTGTTACCAAACCAACTCAGGTTCAGGGAGGGACTGCAAATCCCAGAAAGAGTCACTGTTATGAGGGGCTTCCAAGAGTAAAGGGTGGGAGTGTTTATATATGACAACTGAGAGTAAGCTCAAAGATATTTAGGGAGTTTGAGGGAGTTGGGCCAAACCAATATTCAATGGCTATTTCTGGCTCTGTACTCAGGACCCTTAGCAGTACCTGGGGACCATATGTGGTGCCATGATCCTGGGAATTGGAACTGGGGTCAGCGGGATGAAGGTTAAGTGCCTTAACCCCCGTACTATCTCTTTGGCCCTCCAAGATACGTATTAAGATCAAAATATTTTAAAAAATTAAAAAGGAGGTTAAGGACCAGAGAGAGCTCAGAGGCCCGAACAGATGCTTTGAATGCAGGAGGTCAAGGTTTGACCCCTGCACCGCCGGATCCTCTGCTGAAACGACTCCTGAGCAGAAAGTCAGGAGAGGATCCTGAGCACAGCTGGTGTGGGACCCTTCCCCCAAGAGAAAAAAAATTAAGGTAGCACAAATGGCTGCAGCACATGCTTTGCACAAACGGCCTAGGTTTGATCCCTGACACAGGGACCCCGAGGCACCATAGGGAGTGAGCCCTCACTGTCAGACACGACAGAGATGTAGCCCTAAAACCTGGGCTGCGTGTGGCCCCTAAAACACCAACAATGAAAGGTTAAGTTGTACAAGAGACTTTTTCTCTTGTATAGAAGGTATAAATAGCTAAAGAAGTATGTATATTGGGGTCGGAGCGATAGCACAGCGGGTAGGGTGTTGGCTTTGCATGCAGTCGACCTGGGTTCAATCCCTGGCATCCCATATGGTCCCCAAGCACCACCAGGAGTAACTCCTGAGTGTAGAGTCAGCAGTAACCTGTTAGCATTGCTGGGTGTGACCCCCCAAAAGCAAAAAAAAAAAGTATGTATTTTGCACATGCTAATATACATGTATGTATTACATATGCTAATATACATGCACATTTTGAGGGGTGGGATTTGGGGCCACACCAGGCAATGCCTGGGGTTGACTCCTGGCTTTGTGCTCAGCGATCACTCCTGGCAGAGCTCAGGCAACCATCTGCGGTGCTAGGAATGGAACCACATTGGACATACATAAGGCAGAGCCTTACCTGTTGTACTATTTCTCCAGTCCCAGTATGTAAATACTTTTTCTGGAAGGAATCACAAAAATGATTTAAATGTTGTTCTGCTTGAACCAAATAACTGTGAACAACTTATTGGGTTTTTTTTCCCTTTGGTTTTGTTTTATTTTGTTTAAGGGCCATATCCAACTGTGCTCAGAACTTACTCCTAGTTCTGTGCTCAGAGATCACTCCTGGCAATTCTCAGGGGGCCATATGATGTGCTGGAGATTTAACCCAGGTAGGCCATGTGCAAGGCAAGTCTGGCTTCAATTTATTGTTATTTTGATGTCAACAAAAGAGTATAGGCTTTGGGATGGGAACATTTATGATTTTCTTTTTCTATTTTTTGAGGGGGGTGCCATACCTGGTGGTGTGTGCATGGGTTATTCAGGAATTACTCCTGGCAGTGTTCAGGGGACCACATGGGGGTGCCAGGAATCGAACATGGGTCGGCTGCATGCAAGGCAAGCACCCTGCCCATTGTATTATCTCTCCGGCCCCATTTTTAGTTTTCTTTATATATCTCATCAGTGGATGAAAACAAACCCAAACAGATCAGAAAGGGTAAGGAGACAGACTGAGACGACATGTCCGGTTGGAAATCAAGAGGTTTCTGGGGGGCTGGGCACCCGATTGTGCATGGGAGCCCAGCAATGCTCCCTGCTGTGCTGCAGGCCTGACAGGTGCTGCCTGGACTGTGCGGTGCTGGGATGAAACTCAGGGTTTCGAGGAGGCAGATCATGTGCTCCCCTACACTGGCTCTCTCCCAGATCGAGAACTGAAGAGTCTAGAACTACACGAGGCACCTCCTCGGCCACTGTGCAGTAACAGAAGTGTGGGAGGTAAACCCCAGAAGTGGCAGAGATGCTTGCACTGTGCTGGTTTATCCTTACTTTTTTCATGTGTGTGCGTTTGTGTGTGTGTATGTGTGCATGTGTGTCTGTACAAAAGAATTTTCTCTCTTGTATATAAGATATAAATATCCAAAGAAGTATGTATGCTACATATGCTAATATACATGTGTATATTATATATGCTAAAGTATATGTACATTTTTGGGGGAGGGATTTGGGATCACACCAGGCAATGCCTGGGGTTGACTGTGGGTGTGTATGTGTGTGCATGTGCACCCCGTCTTACTTTAAATTCTTGAGATAAATCCTTCCCCTACACACCCCCGCACTGTTGTTCTTCTGGCCAAGAAGGACCCAGAATCTCAGTTTTATAGATTGAAAACCTATGTACGGCGGGACTAGAGAGGCAGTCCAGCAGTAAGGCCTTTGTCTCGCATGCAGCCAACTGGATTTGATCTCTGGTACCCTCATAGAGTCTCCTGTGCCCTGCCAGTAGTGATCCCTGAGTGCAGAGCCAGGAATAAGCACTGAACACAGCTGAGTGTTTTGTTGTTGTTGTTGTTGTTGTTAAAAAAAAAAAAAAAGAAAAGAAAGCCCATGACAGAAATGTAGGAAGAAAAGCCCTTTTTTTCCAGGGGCCCAGAGGTTATAGCGAGCCTTCTCTAGACGATGAAGTGCATTTAATCTTGCTAGACCCATGACATTTGGTTGACTTTCCCCCCCCAGTTTGTTCATTTTGTCAATCTAATGTGAAAGTGACAATGTGAACCCCTGGGGGTGGGGCGGGGGGCTTGGAGAGATGATCCAGCAAGTAAGGCCCTTGCCTTGCATGCAGCCAACTACTAGATTTGACTCCAACATCACAAGTGGTCCCCCAAATCCCACCAGGCGTGATCCCTGATCATAGAGTCGGGAGAAAGCCCTGAGCACCACCAGGTGTGACCAAAAATGAAACAAAACCAAACAAATGACCCAAAGTGAGATGTTTCATCAAGAACCGGGTTGGAATTCTCCCAGTGCGCAGTTCCTGGAACCCCTGAAGAAACCTCCCCAGTGCCAAGAAACCAGAAAGCCACGCTCCTAATCCACAGGCCATTTGCCTTACAACATTTCTAGGAGGATGAGGGATACAGGACTTCCCCCCACTTGACAGGTGGAAAAGTCAAGGTACGGCCCGTCCAGGGCATCCTGTCCAGGGCAGAAAAACCTATCTGGCTGCTCTGCCCCAGGGGACAGTGAGAACCACGGAGCTGCAGGATTAGGAGGTTCCGGGGAAGTGAGGTGGCAGGGCTTGACCAATGGGCTGGCCCGTGAGGGGGACGTCCCCGGTTACCTGGGCGGTGTCCACAGTGCTGACTCGGGTCTGGAGCATGGCCTCCGGCTCAATCTTCTTCCTAATGGCAAGGCTGCTGACGGTCATGGTTTCCGCTTTCACAGGCTGGAGGGAAGACAGGGAGGACACAGCATGACGCACGGCCCAGACCAGTTCCTGTCCACAGCAGCAGGATGTTGGGCTGACAGGTGCATGCTCAAGCCCACATCCAACAGGCCAAGTCCCCAGGAGGGCAGCCAGGACCAGGGGGAAGAGGTTTGGGGGGATGACACCAACAAATGGCCCTGAGACAGACCCGCCAAACTCCTGGGACTGGGGCCCCTCACTGTGGGTGGGCAGATGCTGTGTTTCTGTTTGGGGATACCACGGCCAGTGCTGAGCGGTCACTCCCAGGGGTGGTGGGGGAGATGAGAGGTGTGTGTGGAAAGGTGGAGCCTCAGAGCAAGTGCCAGACCCTTTGACCCATCCCCCCAACCCCGCAGTGGCTGTGTCTGGGCTAGGCCCGCGTGGTTCTTCCCTGTCCCTACAATGTCGCTGCATCCCAACCATCTCCAGGGATCTGTCGCCACCACCACCAGCCCTAGCCCTGACAGCTTCATCTGAACTGCTGGAGTCACATGCTTGGAGCCTCTCAGAGCTGGACAGTTACAGAATGAAGTGGGCTGGCTGAGGATGGGTGGACTGGAAGGCACGTGGCCACCACGGTCTTGAGGTGACCAGGTTCTCTGATTTTTCTTTTTTAATGTTTTCTTGAACACTGGATTTTACATTCAATTTATATTCAATTTTCGGGTTTTTATTTATTTATTCTGTGCAGCCGGAAATCAAACCCAGGGATCACACACTCAAAATAAGTGCTCTACTGCTAAACCCTTCCCCCACTATCCTGAGTTATTTTCTTGGGGAGGGCGGGGAGTTGGGGGCCACACCTGGAGCTGCTCAGGTCTTTGCTCAGGGATCACTCCCGGCAGGGCTCGGGGGGGGGGGGGACCATGTGGAGACCTGAGTTGGCTGCGTGCAAGGCCAGCTCCCCAGCCACCATGCTAGCCTTCCAGCCCCCAGTGCCATGATGTAAAACTCAAGGTGGGACACATCTGTCGGTCAGAGCCTGCCTGCGCTCAGCCAGCCTCTAGTGTAGAAGTCACTCGTGCCAAGAGGTATTTCTCTGACTTGTCCCCTGTGCCCCGGTCACGGCTGTCTCCACAGCAGCTGTTCCACACGTGAAGAGGAACGAAAGCGAGCCGACCGTCTCCGAGGTGGAGGTGAGACTAGTGCCTGGAGACAGGAGCAGGCTTTGGGGGGCGGCCACCCCTGGGCCCCTGGGACGATGCCGGCATTGAAGGCCTGAGGAGCACTGGGAGGAGCACCTTCGAACCCACAGGGTGATCAGGAAGCCGCTGGCTTGGGAAGTGGGGTCTGAACAGGGCCCCGGAAAGCGGCACTTTGCAAGATTCAGAGGGAGCCAATGGAATCTTCTACTGAGAAAGCCCGGGGGCGGGGGGGGGGGGGGGACACAAACCCAAACCCCAGCAAGGAGGACGTTTGCCTTGCACGTGGCCAACCCAGGTTCAATTCTCAGTATCCCATATGGGCCCCTGAGCACTGGCAGGAGTAACCCCTGAGCATCGCTGGGTGTGACCCAAAAAAGCATAAAAAACAAAACAAAACAAAACAAAACAAAACCAGACCCCAGGGCCTGGGCCCGAGGCAGAGGAGAGTGTGGGAGGCAGGCTGGGGCTCCACAGTGAGGACAAGGAGGCGTGTGGGGAAGAACCTCTGCAGGCGCAGAGTGGAACCCTCTCCGGGACGCCCCTTCTCTGGGGCCTCCACCACCACCTCGAGGGCCCAGGCTCTGATGGACTTGGCTTCTGTCCCTTCCCCAGGAAGCCCCACATTCCAGAAGGGGAAAAGCCATCCACCTGGAGTCCCAGGCCCTGGGCTGCCCCGCGTCAACAAGCACGTGCTCTCGCTGCAGGCGCCATGCAACAACGGGCGGGCAGGGGCACCGAGGGTGGTCCGGCCTGACAAGGGTCCGCTCGAGCTGGTCATGCGCCCAAAGTGACAAGGCTGGGATGTGGCATAAGGGGAACATGGGGGGGGGGGGGGCGGGGGGGGGGAGGAGAAAGAGGAGATGACGTGCGTGCGTGCACAGAACCATGCTCTGCGGGGCGGTGGGGGGGCATGCATCAGGGACCCCCGTCTTCTCATAGAAGTGAGGTGTGGGGCGGGGGCTGAGACGGGCAGTGCTCGGCGGGCCCAGCTCTCTGCGCCGGCTCCACTGTACCTCAAACTGGGGCAGCTCCGGGGTGGAGCAGGCCCCTCGGTCCGGGCTGTCCTCCGGGCCCCCCGACTCGTCCTCCTGGCTGGCGCCCCCCTTGCTGAGATCCCGGGAGAACACCAGGCCCTCGGGCTCCGAGTCACTCTTGTCCCGGTCGAGCTCGGGCAGGCTGCGGGAGAAATCCTCGAAGGCGCTGCCCTGGTAGTCGCCCATGACCGTGAAGTCGACCTCGGCCTCCAGGCTGGACGTGGAGCTGACCGTGATGCTGGAGCACTTGCGCTCGATGGCCAGGTGGTTGTCCTTCAGGAACACCGCGTCCCTCTCCTGGTCCTGGTCCTCCTCGCCCGTGTCGCTCTCAGGGGCCCTGGGCCGTGGCAGCTTGACTTTGTCCTCCGAGCCCTCCCTCAGCCCTCCTCTCTACGGCCAGGTAAAAGCCAAGGGAGCAGGGGGGTGGGGAGGAGAGAGAAAGAGAGAGAGAGGGAGAGAGAGAGATCAAAGACAGTGAGTGACAGAGGACAAGTGGCGGCGACACCGTTGATCCCAAATGGAAGAAAAAGCAGGTAAGGAAACCAACCAAACACCAGCCCTGGGAGAGGTCCTCAACATCATAACAAGCTTTAACAAAAAAAGAAAAGAAAAAAAAAGGAAGAAAGAAAGAAATAAAGAAAGAAGGAAGGAAAGGAAGAAAGAAAGAGAAAAAGAGAAAAACAGAAAAAGAAGCAAAATTACCACCAACAAATGAAGGAGAAGAAAAGAAAACCGCAAACGCCTAGGGAGTGGACACAGGCCTCTGCAAGGGACTGGTGGCCAATGGCAAAAGCATTCCCCAAGCAGGCGTCCTCCCGCCAGGGGGTGCTGGACAAGGAGGCCCCCTCCAAGGACGAGATGGTGGAGGTCATCAGAAGCGGCACTGGGGCAAGGCAGGGATGGGAGCCGGGCCCCCATCCGTGCAGGGAGAAGAGACTCAGCGGATCTAGGAAGGGGAGGGAGAGGCGGAGCCAAGAGCCTGGAGGACGGGCGAGGAAGAAGCCGTGGCGCGTCGATGCCACTGCGTCCCCGGGACGGGTGCTGGCAGCAGACGGCATGGTGCCATCTAATTCCTGGAGCAGCTAATCCATCGGTTCAAGCCCTAGCTGGAGGCATGGGGGGGGGGGGGGGTGGAGTTCCAGTCTGTCAATGTGACTGACCACAGCCAGCCAAGGAAGGAGCCAGCCAGCAGCCACTGTCCCACCTCCACACCTCCCAGCTGGCCTCTGGAGGATTACACAGCACACACACCTGGTTTCTTTTTTTGGGGTGGGGGGATAGGGAGGCAGTTTATGGCTTTTTAGGGGGGGTGGGGACACCCAGCAGTGCTCAGGGGTTATTCCTGGCTCTGCCTTCAGATCACTCCTGGTGGGGCTCAAAGGCCCATAGAACATGCTAGAGTTTGAACCTGGGTCAGCCGCGTGCAAGGCAAGCGCCCTACCTGCTATGCTATGGCTCCAGCCCCGCTTTTAATTTTAATTTTTTTTTTTTTTGGAAAGACCAGTCTAATACCTTCTCGGTCTTTGTTTTTGGGTCAGAATCGGCAGTGCTTAGGGAGCCCTCCTGGTGGGGCTCAGGGGGCCACATATGGTACCAGGGATTAAACTCGGGTTGGCTGCATGCGAGGCAAGTGCCCTACTCACTGTACCCCTCTACAACACCCCCATCCCCGACTTTTTAAGTATTTGGCTCTGGGTTCTAGAGCCACGCTGGCTGTGCGTTTTCGGAAGGCCTGAGGAATACGCACACCAGATTCACCAGGGTGGAGCGACCCCCAGAGGTCTAAGGCAGCGAGGTGCCCCTGGCCGGATGGAGCTGACCGGGTCAGCAGGGCTGGAGAGACCCAAGGGGTAGTTCCCCCCCCACTGGGGTGGGGCTAGGAGACGCTGCCAAGCTGGAGCCATGCCTCTCAGCCCTGGCGGCAGGCAGCGAGGGTTTTGCTCTGGACGGCAGGAAATTGCTGGTCTGGAGGAGGTGGAGGGGAAGTGGCCCTGGAGCCGTGAGGGAGGGGAAGTGAAGGGCAGCAGGGAAGGGATGGGGGATGCGGGTCAAGCCAGGAACAGAGGTGGTTACCCAGCAGGTGGGGACAGGCAGGCGGAGCAAGTGTGTCGCTGGCTGGCAATGGTGCCAACTCTACCACAGGCCCGGGGGAGGCTCTGGGCACCAGGTCCCACCGGGAGCTGATGGTCTCCGTGGCAAAGCTAACAGGGTCTAAGCCGATGAGCCTGTCCCTCTGCCATAGGGTCACCTTGGGAGAAAAGAACTCCTAGGGACCGACAAGCAATTTCTGGGTGCCGGGGGGAGGAGGAGGAGCGTGAGCAGCATGCGGCCAGCTCCCCACCCTGGACGGGCCCCGCCGTGGGGGAGGAGTGGGGGCTCACGTGGCCAGATCCCCCCGTCGCTTCCTCCAGGGTTGTTTCGCAGCCTGAATCGGGGGACGCCAGGTCGACTTCCCTGCATCCCGCCTGCTGGGATGTTGGGGTGAGGCCCCCTCGGAAGGGTCTGGGAGGTGGCGGCACGACCGAGGCATGTGAAGTCAGAGAGTCGGTCCCGTCTCCCCCCGGGGGCTGGAGCTGGACAAAGTCCAGTTCCAAGAGCCTCTTGGGCTGCTCCGGCAGCCCTGGGGTGCCCTCTGCAGACGCATCGCCGCCGGGACTCCCTCGGAGACCTTCAGCTCCCTGAGTCTCGAAGATCCGGATTTTGTTGGCCACGGAGGCCTTGCTGATGTCGTCCAGGGAGCCCTCCTGGCCCCCCGCCTGCAGAGGGGGCTTCTCCTTCGGCTTCCCTGAGGGGAGCAGCAGCCCTGTGGCTTCTAGGACGAATCTGGGCTTCCTGCTGGCCACGGGCGGCGGCCGACGCTGCCCTCCCTCCGGGGCGTGGGCCACTCTGTCCACAAGCTCCGCGTCCTCTTTCAGGGGAAGGACCCGTCTGGGAGACAAAGGTTGCTGTTCTCCAAGGGGACCCCCAAGGTGCAAAGGCCCCCTCGGGCCCTGAGTGGCAGAGCACAGAGAAGTCTCCTTTGCGGGGGTGGGGAGCGGGTCCATCACCTCCAGATGGAGGAACCGGGAGGCCTGGGGGTCCCGGCACGCAGGCTGTCTCCTGGGGCTGGAACCCCACTGCGTCTCTCTGGCTGCGCTCAGCTTCCTGCCAGGCTGAGGAGGGCCGGTCCCCCGGAAGGCACAGGCCTGGGGATCTGGGGGCACAGCCCCTTCTTGGAGCTGTGAGCAGCTTGTCCATCCTGCCGAGGGGTGCTGCTCTGCCTGGACCACCAGGTCCCCATTCTGGCGACCCTCTTCCTCCGGGGTGCCTGGTGGGCGGGTGCACTGTCCCCACGCCTCAGGCCCGTCCTCAGAAAACTCCTGGCCAGGAAAGGCTCCCTCCTGGGGCTTTTCCACCAAGTCCATGTGCTCATCCACTCTCCTGGGGTTCCCGGGGGGCCCTGCCCCTTCCTTGGAAACAGGGGAGGCTTCATCCTCCATGCCAGGGAGCTCTGTGACTCCCCAGCCGTGTCCAGGCCCGGTCTCCTGCCCCGTGGGGGTGGCCAGGGGCTCCTCCCAGCCCTCCTGGGGCAGAGGCAGAAAGCGGCCGTCAGACTCTCTCTCTGCAGAGTTGAGGTGGAAGCTCCTCTCTGCCGAGGACATGTCGGTGTCATCGCTGGAGTCGGCCTTGGCTTCCTCGGGGGCCGGGCTGAGCAGAAAGGACTGAAGGCCCCCCTTGCCGGAGGCTGGAGAGGTGGCCCCTGTCTCGGCCAGCTGGGGCCCTGGGGCAGCAGGTCCTTCTCCAGGATGAAGCTCTCCCAGCTCCTGCTGCTGCTCCATCTGGCTCCCCAGGGGAACCCCTAAGATTTCAGGCTTCCCAGGGCCTGCCCTGAGCTGGGGGTCCCCTGCCAGCATGAAGCCAGAGGTCAGTGTCACACCTGCGGGTCCTTCGGTGACCCAGGAACCTTCCTCCCACATGGACTCGAAGTCTTCGGGACTTGCGATCATTTTTCCCGGTCGAGTGTTTGCGCTCCAGGCTCCCACCATCTCTTCTGTGGCCACTTCGACTTTGAACTTGTCCACCAGGATGTCCACCTTGGCGAGTCTGCCGTCGGCGAGAACATGGGCGAGGCCGGCTTCCTTGTCTTCCCGACGTGGGGGGGTCACTCTTAGGAGACCAAGCTCTTCTGGCCTAAGGTACTCTCTTTCTATAAAGACCCAGTGCTCTGAGCCCTGCGTTTCAACCGGAGCAAGAGGAGTTAATGTGAGGCACAAGGCACCTGAGGGAGGGTCCCCGCTGCCTCTAAGGAGGGGCTCGTCCACCTGCCCTAAGATTCACCAGGTCCCCAAACTGGCTGGCGGCGGGGGGCTGCGACAGAGCTCAGCATCAAGGCTACGCCTCCTGTCAGGCCCTCAACACCCAACACCCAGTTTACCAGCTCCCCTCAACTACCACCCAACCTGGTCACAGGGGATGGGGGTATCATGTCAACCATGGGTTCCTGGAGATTCCTAGAGGGGCCAGGGGTCCCAGTCTTTCAGAGCATGACTGCCACGGTGGGAGGGGACAGCAGCTCAGTTCACGGGATCCTCACATCACCACAAAGAACTACTAAGATGCCCCAGGTAGAGTCCTGGGGGGTCCTTTGGAAGCTGAAGTCTCGAGAAGGTCAGCGACTTACCCCAGGTCCCTGCTGCTAGGAGATGAGAATCAGGATAAGACTGCCCGCAGTCTGATGCCTGAGCTCACAACCTAGGGCTCCGGGCCACAACTGAGACTGCAGGTCCAGGGCAGGGCAGTGGGGGTGAGCGAGGTTGGCCCCATGGTCACAGCCTGACCCTTCTGCAAGAGCTTCCGAGGAGGAAGGAGATCAGGGCAGGGGTGGGGGGATGGGGGCGATGCCAGAAAGCTACTTCTAGAGATGAGTCGGAACCACAATGTTGGAAAAAAGAGCACTTTGCAGCATTCTCCCCTCTGAGTACCAACCAGGCCCAACCCGGATTAGCTCCCGAGACTCCATGAGGATCCAAGGCCTATCCTTGGACATGTCTATTGAAGCCCACAGAAATGGTATTAAAGGACCTACCAGCCCTCACCAGGAGGGAAAAGAGAGAGGCAAGCATGGCGCTGAGTGAGGAGCACCCAACCTAATGCTGTCAAATGGGCTGGTAGATGCCCCCTCCCCCGCCACACACACTCACACACAGTCTCTCACACACACTCACAGACATTCACACACACGTTCACATACACACCACATATACTCTCACATATACTCACACACACTCTCACGCACACATTCACACTCATACACATACTCTCACACACACACACTCACACATTCACACACACTCATACTCTCTCACACATACTCACACTCATATACACACCTCACACACACACTCACCTAC